AAGGGGGTGAATCAGCTGTTCCTTTAGTTTCTAGTTCAGGAATTAGAGGCGAAAAAAAAAAGAATTAGAGGCGACTGGGTAATTCCATCATAAATGGAATTGGAAAGTTAAAAGTTGTTTAGAATAAACATTGAATTCCAGTTATATGTACAGATTTCTTTAGTGAAAACTGTCCTACAGGCAATTTTAGAATAATTAGAGAATAATTGAGATTTGCATTAAGAATAAAAAATTAAAAATACTGTATTATTCCTGATTATTAAATTTTAATTAAAGTATTGCTTCATTTCTGCTGTTTGTGTTCTCCAGTGGGCATTTCAAATCTTTCCTAGTGTCAGTTACTGCTCAGTGTGGTGCACAAGTACTTAATGATACACCAAGCAAGCTAGAATTACTCTACTGAATTTTTTCCTACGTGCAAAGGTATCTGGTTTTAGCTGCAAGGTAGAACTTAGTCTGGAAGCTGGGGTGGGGGAGAGGTATGGGAAGAGAGAAATGGAAACTTGTAAATTTAGGACAAAGTTAAAACAATGAGGAAGGAAGATGAATCTCCAGAGGTTTGCTAGGAAATGAAAGTTAAAATCGTCTGGTTCCTCCTGCTCCAGAGGTGATTTATATCCCTGCCAGTAAGGTTGACAAGTGCAGACTTTTAAAATAGCAGAAGATTTCCTCAGAGGTCAGTGTGTTTTCTTTATTGTGCAATGGAAGGCAGGAAGAGTTTAAAATTAAACCACAGGGAGAGAAAGAGGACTTTTCCATGGTGGAAAGATGCATAGGAGCTGCGTAGCGATAGGCAAGCTCTCTGCTGTGCGTTTGAAATGACTTCTGAGAAGGAGGCCCTGATTCTGGTTTTCATGGGCAGAGGACCATGAGCACTGGAGGGGTTTAGATAACTCCTTGGCCAAGATTGTTGTGCAGGGGAGAGGAAGGAAGACTCTGGGAACAGAGGCTGGGATTGCTCATCGTTCCCGTGTGATGGGAGACATCCCAGCCCCATGTGTCTTGCTGATTGTCCAGCCCTGTCCTTTCCTTATGCAGAGAGGTTTCTGCATTAAGTCACATGAAGTTTCAGATTCAGTGTCTGTAAGAAGACGTCTCTGAAAGTCAGGAAATACGTGCATGTGTGCCCAGAAAGAACAATCAAACTCCAGCTGATGTCCTAAAGCCCTCTTTGGACATTCAGTTTGCTAGTGTTTCACAGGCAAACAGAAAATCCTTTGGGATTCAGTTCTTGGTGCCTGGGGATGTTCTTCCATGATTCATTCTGTGTCTGAGCTGCAGATAAACACATTCAGGCTTCTGCATGGAAAAATAGCTGGTTCTCTCCTGGCGCTTTTTCAAAAGCTGAGTATTGAAGCACTCTTCCCAGAGCCTGTTTCGTATTCCCTTCTGCCATCGGAACACCACTGCATCCTCTGCTCCCACCACAAAGACTTGGGATGCCCAGAATCTATGGGCTATAATCAGTGTGGGCAAGGCAGAAAGTGCATGGGGTTTTATCTTCTGTGGTCACTGCCTGTGGTCCTGTCATTGGCTTCTCTTAGCAAAACAGGAGACTAAGGGAAGAAGGGAGGAAGAGTTTTGTTCCGTGTAATGCACATGTGTGCACAATCCCAAGACAGCTTCATTCTGAATTTCTTCATTCTGGTGCATTCCCCAACCCCTGATGTGCAGGTGCTTTTATTGTATGTTATTGTATATTACTATGTTTTCTCTACAGCCCCTACTGTCTGTACCTGCAGTCACTAGTCCTGCGTAAACACAAGCAGAATTCAGTTGCTGAGGAGGGTTTCCAGTACTCAGTCTTGGGCTGTGGATAGAGGGGTTTGTGTTTCTGAGTGTCTGTGGACCACCCAGTTTCCTGAGAGCACGCAGTAAACCTCCCTCAAATCCTGTCTGGGCTCGTTTTGGCATAAGGAATACTTGTATCTAGTAGTGGTTTCCTTTGTTTGTGTTTTGATGATGATGATTATTATTATTGCTGAATAAGGGCTACTGAGATAAATATTTAGTTCCTAATGTTTTATTTTGTACATAATCAGGTATGTCTGAAACAGCACCTTAAACCTCAGCATTACTCTCTCATTGCTTTCTTTAACAGAAGAAAACAGACGTTTTCAGTACTTGGCAAAGGCACAGGGCTGAGGAGAGAGCTGGCTGGGTGATGGGAAAAATACTCAAATCTTTCTTGAAAAAATGCCAATGTCTATAATGCATTTTCAGTGAATGACTCAATTGGTTCTATTAAAGGAAAAAATATAATGTTAATTCAGCCTAATATAGTTTAATCTATTACCAGGCAACTGATAGGCTTGACCCACCTCATACTTTGCTTTCTTACTGCTAATTATTGAGCAAGATGTTTAATTATTGATTTGATATCAGTGTAAATCAGGAGTGGTTCTCTTAAATTTGACAGGCATAAATTGGTTTAAGAGTAAGGAGGATCAGGCTTAATATGATGAGGAAGGAATTAGGTGCAGGCCAGTCAGAAGGAGGCAGAGTTTGATTTTCTATCTGAAACGGGTCGTTCCTTCATTTGTGTGGACTTGAGCACAATTGCATTTTTCCTCTGTGTGTTCAGGCTCAACCTCTAGATTTGCCTTTAATGAAATACAAAATAGCGTGCTGCAAAATAGATTCTGCTTTGTCTGGACAGAGAGGAATATTAACATATTTATTGACCTTACAGTCATAATGTGATTTTTATTGGCTCTACAGCTCTTTTGAGACAAAGAAAGTATGTCTAGATTCTGCAGTATAAAGTTTAATTGCTAAGGTTTGATACCCCTCAGCCTTGCTGAGAACAGGGGTATCTTTCTTCTGTTGAAAGAATCTAAACAGTGAGCCACTGTCCATGCAGCAGTTAAAATTCAACATCTTTATGTCACTTTGGAAAACAAAAAACTCATTGTTTTTAGAATGGGCTTACCAAAGCCTTTCTCAGACTTCAGGCTGCCTCTTTATCTTACTTAATACATATGTACTATATGTAAATTGAGAAGCTGGGTGTGCAGGTGTGTGTGTACGTGTGTTGAGTAGAGGTGCAGGGAAGGATGAGATCTTAGATGTATGTACATATAGGGGTCTGATGAGTTCTTGGATGTGTACATAATGCCTATGTATGAGCAGAGGCAGCAAGCGACTGATACATCATAAGTGTACATCATATGTGAGAAGAAGAGCCTGTAGAATTGCACTGGGGTGGGGAGGTCACCCAAGACCCTGACTGGTAGGTAGAGCACCAGGTCTCCTTCACCCCTTTTGGAACACTCCTGCTCACTTTTCTTCTCTTAGATCTTTTCTGCTCTGTCCCTGTCTCCCTCAGCAAGAGCTGCTGACTGGGGAAGGTCACAGCATCCTCTCTGCTGGAGGATTTTAAGGGCATGTTAGATCATGATTTCTCAGATTATAACTGAGCCTGACTTGGAGCAGCAGAAAGGGACTAGTTGACCTGTGAAAGGCCCTTCTAGCCCCATTTTATCATCACAGAAGTATGGAGGAGGGCAAATCCCAAGGAAGAAAAATGTGCTGTAGAAAGTAGCTGATGGATCTTGAGGAATGGAGCGTTTACTCTGCTGGGTGATGAGCAGGAGGTGAGCAGAGGTGCTGGCAGGAGCCCCTCCAGAGAGGGTCAAAGGGATGCAGCCAGACCGGTGAGGAGCACCAGCCAACTGCAAATAAACAGTTCCATGATCTCAGCGAGGAAGGGAAGAAGGATGTGGGTCGTTAGTCAAAGCAGCAAGTCAGGTCAGGGGTAGGAGAGTGTTGTTTTTCTTTATTGAAAAAAAACCCCAACATAAAAAGGAAAAAGCAGTGAATTTCATAATATGGGACAAAGGAGAATATTAATGAGATGAGAATATGGTAGGGGACTGCAAAAATGGAGCAGGATCATGGAGGAGATTTGAGGACAGGTCAGAGGCAAAAAGGAAATAGTAAAAATCCTCCATTTGACAGAGAGAGGGAAAAGGAAATTATTTCAGGAGAGAGAAGGAAAACCAGTGAAAGGGTAGGAGAAATAGTTTGCATAAGCCAGTCTTCTGTTTCCAGTAGCTTTATTTTAGGTACAACATAACATGCAAGATCCTGTGTGTTGAGGCAGGTCAGGATGGGAAACAACCTCTAGATTTCATGATGTGGGACATGGGATTGTCCAGGTGAGATTTGCTTGCCTTTGGCAAAGAAAGGTGTTTGGACTGGAGAAAGCAGAGAGAGCAAAGGGGCTTCCAAAGTCTACTGGCTGTAGACAGAAGCGACAGGAAGCAGGCATTGGATGAGCCAAAGGTTGTGGATAGTCCAGTAGACTTCAGGGTCAAAATGTTGGACAGCACAATCCAAGTGAGAAAGAGTAAAGCACAGGCAGATGAGGGAGAAGGCTGAGAACAGATCAGTCATCCTTCCTGAAAGACTGGAAGTCACAGAAGGCGTGAGGAGCAGGGTGACATGATAAGGGCTGATGTTGAATAAACCATGTGATGTGTCTTAGTGTTAAAAAGGGGGTTTCTAACATCATTGTCATTTCAGTTAATGACAACACAAAGTGCTTTTGGTTCTCATCATGACCTGGGCACTTCCCTAGCCCTCATTTCCACATTATCTTTATGGCAATTATCTTTACAGCTGTATGAGTGGTAAGGAATTGCTGTTCTGTAGATAGTGAACCAAAGCATAAAGCAGAGGAGTATCTTCCCTGCACTTATGCTACAAATGGAAGTGAGAATTGAAGCCAGGTTTCTCCAATCCTCAACTAGTAGCTTGAACATTGGCTCATAGTCCCTCTGAACTCCAGCCTTGAGCGGGAGCCACCTTGAAGTCAGACTTTCCACGCAGAAGTGAAGTTTTTTGGCATATTTTAATGGTTTGTTTAGCGATGCTATAAAACAGAACTAAGCCACAACTATCTGTCTTCTGGTCAATGCAGAGTGACGTTGCAGAAGAGCCTAATGTTGGCCAGAGTGGCCTTTCTCTGATTTGCTCTGGTCTGTTTTCCAGATAAACCGTGAAAGCTGGTGTTCGCTGGAGCCATGTCCCGATTCTTCCCTGCTGGAGCGCAAGCGGACACAGGAGTCTCCAGGTGAGCAGTGTGCCAGTGGCAGCTCTGGATGAGCTCCTCACCTTTCCTTTCCTTCCTTTTCTTCTTATTTTTGACTTCTTTGTCTCGATGGGGAAAATACGTAAACTAAAGAAAATGTGTCATGAATCTGCTGTGAGTCATTGCCTTGCACATGGCTGCAGCACTTGACTTGCAGCGAGCTGTCTGGTGTGTCACCTTCTGAGATAATGATGTTATTAAAGTACCTCAATATTTCATCTTTTTCTTTCTTAATAAACATGAAAGGTGTGATGGGGCGCACAGATGTGGTTTCTAGCTAAAAGGATAGAACAGTAAAAGGAAAACAGTAGAAGTTTAAACTCCTCAATCCATATTTAGATCCAAATCAATGGCTTGATTTTTTTCCTTCTATTATTTTTTTTCCCCTCTGAAAGTTGCCACAGTTTCCAGGCTTCAGGAAGCAGGAAGGCTGTCAAGAGCCATCGTTCCCACACCCTGCCCACCAGCCATGCCGAGCTCCCAGCCCTGCGAGCTGGCTGGTGCTTTCTGGCTCTTCCACTGGGACAGAAAATCTTGTCTGGGCAAGTTTCACAGAGGGGTTGGTGTCCAAGATAAGGAAAAAAGCATTTGCTGTCATTGAACTAAGCATGTTCAAAACAAATGGAAGAATTTATCAGGGCCCTGAAGAGGGACTTTGCTTGGACTGTTCAGAGAGAGGACACTTCTTGCCTTGCTTTCGTTACAAGCAGAGGTCTCACCTGAATCTCTTTCCATTTAGATACTTGAAAGAAAATCACCAAGTGTCAGTGTGAAATTCAAACCCGATCTTTTTGGAGTGTAGGCTAAGAAGGGATGATGCAGGTGACTGACCCGAGGGGTTTATTCTGCGTAGAAGTTCTAGCTCCCATCAAAGTTAAAGAACTTTTTTAATTTAAAAATAAACGGTGCTGTTTAGAGTATTCATGACGAGGGAATGGTTCTTTCAAGAGTGTTTTACAGGAGAACCTGTGGAATCACCATACTACTTCCTAACTGTGTCCCCAAATGTCTTTCCTCTTGGTATGATGTTTTTATGCTTCAGGCAAGAGTTACTGTTCTCCATTCAGTTGCAAAATGACATGTACTCATTGACATGCCCAATCTGTAATCCTCTGTTCATATGGATCAGTATCAGTTAGGTACTTATTAATTATCCATCGTACTATATAAATACAATGTTTATTATGTAATCAGGTAGCCATATATACAAATATATATTCATAATTACAGTAATATATGTCTGTAACACAAGCAGAAAGAGACAGGGTTTTAAAGTTTCTTAATGTGCCCTCCTGTCAGACTGAAGCAGCAGTTCTGCATGTTCTGGCCTTTCCAGAAACCATGTTGTTACTGCACGTGCATCACTCCAGCTGCACTGTGGTGCTACGCAGTGTAGTGGGGGGCAAGAAGAATCTGGCAGCACCTAACAGCAGTAAACCCACTAGCTGTTGTAATATGGGTAACTTAAAAACACACCACTTGATAGGGAATTGGACCTATTTCACCTGCTGAATAATCTTGCTGAAATGGTTGTGAGAACAGGGTCCTCAAATCTCAGAAGTTAACTCCAGAAACTGTAGCTTCTCATTTTCTGTCAGTGCTTGTGAATTGAAATGCCTGAAGGAGTGTAACAGATATGTAGCTATCAGCATGGAATTGGAGGGCTCAGCCCTGCCTTGGAGGACACAAGGGTTTGGAAAATGTACGTAAGAGACTTGCTTGGAAAGTTTCTTTCTAGGGCTTTTTACTATGTAATTTTTTTTGCCTTTGTATTACTTGCAGCAGTGTGTTACCATCATCATTGTATTTTCACCTGCACTTCCACAGAGAGGAGCAGATAAAGCACAGTTGTGCTGTAAATGAGCACGGGTTTATGTGTGATGGGAGTCACAGTCCCCATATCATGGCAGTGCTGTCACCAGGCTCACCAGGTCACGGGTGTGGGAGACAGAGCTCAGTGTTGTGCAATACCTGTGCAGTTTAAAGCAAAGAAAATAAACCCAATGAGCTAACTGAGAAAAAGGGAGGAGGAAGGCACTCCCCCCCCAGCCATCCAATAATAAAGGAGAGTGGAGGGAAGAGAGGGTTTGGGAATTGGTTTTTCAGCACAGATGACTTCAGGTGTGGGGGTCCCCATCACGCTGCTCCTCATCATCCTTCCCCGCTGCTTTCCTCTATTCCTCAGAGGCTGATGCAGAAGAGGCTTTGCTGCCTCTTGGGATTTGTCACCGGGGTGAGGTATCCATCCCTTGGCACATCTGGACCGTCCCCACTGATTTTCCACTGGAACGTGGCTGGAGCCCCTTTGGTTTTCAGTCTGGGCTGCGGAGATGCTGTGCCCGTGCCAGCTGGACGGCCGGCACCTCACAGCCTGCCCGTCTCTTCTTTGCTTTTCCCTTCTGGGTTTTTTTTTTCCCCTCCCTTCTTCTCTTCCCCCTCCTTTCTCCTCCTCAGTGATGGAAAAGCACTTCAGATTTTCCAGGTTTACCGAAAGGGGAGCAGGCCCGGGGAGCAGCCGTGCTGCCTCCAGTAAGTGCTTTTCCAATTCTTTGTGGTGTGGAAACTCCTCTATGGAGTAATGGGGTTTCCGACTGGCTTTGGTTCCCCTCTGCCCTAGACAGGGGCAGCCCCACTGCCATCAATAAATTCCCATTATTTTCTCCAGCAGTGGAGCCGGGGTGTTTGATGGCTGCTGTCAGGAGCAGGTTAAGGATGGGGAAGGGAAAAAGGTGACTTCGAGCTACCCAAACCTGTCATCATTGCATTGATGTCTAAGCTCAATGTCGCCAAGGGTGGAGTTAGTCAGGTGTAATTTAAGAGTAAACCCAGCATTTTATCGACCTGGCTCCTCTCCAGGGAGCTAAGTGTGGTTTGGATCTGTTTAGTTAGTTGCAAAATAACACCTTTATTTTAAAAAAATACTAATAATTAGAAAATATTTTAAGCTTGGAGAAAAGAATATTCAGTTACTGCCAACATTTTCATTAATACTTTTGCCTGAAGGCTGCACAAATGAAATGACATACAGGCATTTTTTATGCAAATACCTGTCTGTTAAGGGTTTTGGAGAGGAAGGCCAGTAGTATTTTTCTATGCTGATGATCACCCGAATACAAAGACCTGGAAGCATTTTGGTGAAAAGAGATGCATTGTATTTGTATTTCAATATGAGCAGTTACGAAAGCTGAGAATTAAAAAGAAAACCACTTCATTTTTGAATCTTAAAAAAACTAAAGCTTGTCATGGAAGTCATACTAGTGACTTTTCAGTGACAATTAGAGAAGGAGGAATGAGATAATCATCCCAATATGCATTTAAAGCACGTTGGCATTGAGACGAAATTGATTCTTTAATTGAGAAAGAAAACAAATATCAAGTTATATTTCTGCCTTTATTGAATACGACTCTAACTTTGCAGTTGTTGCAATTGATGGAAAACATCCTGTTATGCTCAGTGTGGGGTACCTGATACGTAGCATATTTATCAGCACCTCAAGGAACAAGCGTATATGACTGTTTAGTGCAGAATCTTTGCACCATGTACTTCAATGGTGCCTTAAAAAGAAGTTTTAAAGTCTTGAATAAATTATTAGCAAAATTGCAGACAGTTTGGGGAGGTGAACATTATAAAGCTGTGTTTGCTGCTGGGTTTAAATCCTTGGATTTACTGTGAGTGAGTTGTATGTACAGATGCTACAGAAAGCATCAGCTCGTAACTCTTTCTGCTTTGCTCCCATAGAATGTGAGAACTTCTTGGAGGATGGGCTGAGTAGCGTCTGTGCCTCGTCACAGGGTGGTCTTAAAAGAGAGTCCGGGAGTGAGTCTGACCTCTTCCCCTTGCCTGGTGATGGGATGGAAGACCTTGTCTTTGGAAAGGTAGGAAAGCCTGGTTGGGATATGGTTAAAAAGTCTCCAAGGCCTGATTCAATAAACCTATCCTGCAGATGCAGATTGTCTTGGTTTCACCGGTGAGTTAGAAACCTGGAAGCAATTATGCTAGAATGGAATACATAGGAAGGATCTGGTTCCCTCTTCGGATGCAGCAACACGGGGGATGTTTTCACTTGCAGCAGAATTCCAGAAATCTTGCAGCCCCCAATGTGAAAAAGATAAAAGTAAATTTCAACTGTCCAGAAGTAAATCAGGCACTAGAGAAACAGTTGAAAAGGTGGATTGTCTCACAAGGTCATTAGGGATTGCACAGATGATATGAAAGCCATCTTTAACTCCTGTAACAAAGAGCTTTTCTCCAGCAAACGATGACCTCTGTGCTGACACCTTCAGAATTATATACTGTAATTCTCAGAGGAACCAGTGTTCTTCTGTAAATTCAGCCTGACTCCCTGCATAGGAAGGAAACAGTCTTAATACTTAAGGCAAATTCCCATTAATAGTTTTGTTGCCAGGGTGACATACCTCTTAATGCCTTTTTGCGTGCAAGTAAGTGTTTTCAGGTTTGCTTAAAATCAACAGCAGAAGTCATTACTAACCTTAGTCATCTCTGTACCTTCTGTGTTGCTCACGGATGAGAAAGGGAGGGAGGAGTGGGTGAGACCTAAGGTCCTGAACATGGGATGCCACCCTTTAGCATCAGTCTTCTGCATCAGAGCAGCCTGAATTTATTCAGAGGGTGGTTCCATTTGGCTTTTTAAGAATCATCTTGCTGGTAATTTATATTCTTCTTGATGTGAGTAGGTGATGAAAAAACACCAAGAAAAAATATGATGCAGAATCAAAGACATCATCCTTCTCTAGAGCAGCCATTGCTGTTGGTCTCAGCTCCATGAAATCATAGAATCATAAATCCCATGCTTAGGTCCACCTCCAGCATGGTTCCTGCTCTGCAAAACTAAACTTTCAGACTACATTTCACACTTGCTTTTGGAGAAATACATTTAACAAAACAAAAATCTGTTTGTTTAAATCAAATCAGATGATGGTGAATATTTTCCAGTGGGACGGGAAACACCACAGCCCAGGCTAAGTGATCTCATGTGCTATAAATGAACAGTAAAGTCATCCTTAATGCATGTGGTAGGGCACAGAGCTCACCAGCCTCACCCTTTCCCATCTTACTCTCAAAGTGATGTGGGACCCTGGATTGTGAGACTACAAGGCTGTTTGGCAGAGCACAGACTGTCTTCAATTTCCTTGTGTAGAGTGGCACGAATTACGACAGCTGACTGCCATTTGAGCCTGATTTAATGCTTCTATGGGGATGTGTGGGAGAAGAGTGCTGTGGGAACACAGTGCATTTTATAGTGTACAGAATTCTACCTTTTCCCTTTCCCGTGGGGAAAGCTTCCTTCTCCAGAGACAAGAAAGGAAAATCACAACTTAAAAAGAGTAGATAGTGCAGTGTAGTAGGGATGCTGCAGGGAAAGGAGATGGTGGCGTGGAAAGCACGTCTTCAGTTGCCGGTGGAGAGTGGGAAGAGGGAGGAAATTACTTTCTTTATAGAAAGGGAATTTGTTAATTTGGAAGCCTTTGCATTGTTCTCATGATGCTGTCAATTGCAAACTTCATCTACAGGTGGGTTTAAAAGATTCCTGAGTTGAGTTTAGGAAGTTATTCAAAGCTCATCTCAACCTCAGTCACTTTCTTTTTGTCTCTGTTTTGCTTACTAACTCGATTCTTTGTCTCCTTTCTGAGAATTTGTCTAAAAGATGCATGTCTGAGTTGTAGCAGGTTAGTTATAAGCCTATGAAATAGCACAATTTTCATACCAAATCGGGAAGAGAACTTGTTTTTGAACAAAAAGAGGATCTCAAACCTTTCAGTGTCACGTTGATTATTGTTATTACCAGTTCAGTTCTTGTTTCCCTTTTATATGGAGCAAGAGTTGAACTGTTCATCTCTTAAGAGTTGTTTTTTATTGTATAAATCACTCCTCTGTTAAATGCTTAATACATTAGCAGGAACATGCCATTGTTTGTCCAGAGTCTTTAGGCTGCTTCCATAGACACTGCTTGAAATTCAGAGATTCTAAGTCCTGGTTTTAACCCAGCACCATGAAGAATTTGGGGTGTTGAGGTCACAAAATCTGCAGGTGCCTTAAACTGTCCGTGGTGTTTGGTGTGTGCTCTTCCACTTACCATCTCCTTGTTGTCATCTGTGCTTGTCTGTCCCGTTTCCTTTCTCTGAAGGACATAGGCTGAGCTGTATAACAGAAGCTGCTGGGTTCAGTGAGCTTTGGCACTAAAACCTGACTTGGTTTTTCAGACTTCAGAGGCTGTCACTGAAATACAGAAACTGCTTCCAACGTGAAGTCTAAGGCTTCAGCAGAAAGGTTTCTTTTTTTGCGTCAGTGTTTTATCCCCTTTTCCTCATCATCCCAGCCAGCCATCTGGGCAGGCTTTGCAACACCCTCCTTCTTGAATGATTAATGCTGCATAAGGTCATTTCTCACAGTCATCCGGCAGCATCCTGGGGCGTAGCCCATATGCTTTGCTCATCTTAACTTTTAACCTGCCACCAAAATGCAGCTTTTCGATGTGCCTCTTGGGGAATGATTCAGACAAACGACCCTTGCAAAGTCAGGAACTCAGAGATCATTGTCAAAGAAAGGGGTCGCGGCTTGACCCCTTGAATGTTGTTTAATTTCTGCCTTTGTTTTGGTTTGCACAAGGAAATACGCAAAGACATAAATATTTTGTACTTATTTTTTCAAAATTGTTTCTCTTTAAAATAAAACCAAACACAAAACCCCAACATCCATGCAAAAATACCAAACCCAAAGGAATAAAAGATTGAAGAGAGTTTCCCTTTCACCAAGGGAAGACTCCTGCAATCCGGATCCTAAAAATTCTCATAAATAACTAACAGAAGGCCACTGTTGAGGTTAATTTTAAGGAGCCTGGAGCAATAGACAAATTAATTAAAAAATTACTCTGCTAGATTCTGTATCAGAGAATCATAGAATCATATAGTAGTTAGGGTTGGAAAGGATCTTAAGATCATCTAGTTCCAACCCCCCTGCCATGGGCAGGGACGCCTCACGCTAGACCATCTTGCCCAAGGTTCTGTCCAGCCTGCTCCAGGATGGAGCATTTACCACTTCTTTGGGCAACCTGTTCTAGTGCCTCACCATCCTCAGAGTAAAGAACTTCTTCCTTATATCTAGCCTGAACTTCCCTGTTTAACACATTACCTCTTGTCCTATCACTACAATCAACCCAAGCAAAGCTGTTGACTCTGTTAGTATAATGGGATGCCAAATAAACCTCAGGATGTCAGTGTTTTGTGGGCTTTTTTTCCTTCCTTTCTTTAAATACTGTAACACCTTTAATGTCTTTGTCACATGGGAGGTCACAGAATGGAGTAAGTTTGTGTCTCAGCTCTTTGCATGTTGTCATCATGAAAATGAGTGGAAGAATGTTTTAATTCCACTTATCGAGACCTCCCACAGACGGAGGGATTTAGTTGAAGTTCCCTTATATCCCCACCATCCCAGTGATTTCTCTTATCCCTATTCTTGAAGAAGTACAAATGTTCTTTCTCAGAAAGCTCACTTTTTATGCCTTACCTTATTTTTTCTTAGCAGCTTCTCACCAACTGTTGTTTCTGAGAGCAAAGCAAATGCCCATTAGCACATGTCTGTAAGGGTTCTTTTCAGCTGTGAGTTTTATGGTCACAGTTAAGGGTTGAATTCATTGAGGTGCAGTGCAGCAAGCCTAACTTGAAGAAAATATTTCTGTAATGTTTCTTTTTTCCTGTATGAAAAGAACACATTAGAGAACCATTTCCATTCCACAGACAGGGTATTTTCTTACTCAAATAGGATTAAAGAGCAATGCATATTTACTGGCGCTTGGCCAGATAGCTAATTTCTTGCAGAGGTGGCTGCAATATAGATGTTTCTTAGATGTGTCAGCCACACTTGGCATTGTGCAGACAGAGTTCTGGTCTTTAACTGTTAAAGACCAGGATTAACTATTTTGCTGTTTCAAACAGAAACCCCAAACCTGAAAAATCATGTAACTGAAGACAGAATATATTTAGAGGAATAAGCAAGGGCCACAAGTTCAAGGGAATTGTTCACTCTGTTCTCTAGTCAGTCTGATGCTCAAGGTAAAAGTTAAAATGGACCCAATATATTTCACATTTTTAATAACATCTCTTTGAACTGCAATTTACAATAGAAACCCTAAATCTTCCCTGCTAGGGAAGCAGGTTTTGTTCTGCATTTTAAACTGGAGCAGTATTCTCATGTGGGAAATAAAACCCCCTCTTTTTGCTCTAATTCCTCCCTATATTATTTGACATTTTGCACTGTTGTTGCTAGATTTGCATCCAAGTTTAATGTTTCCAAACTCTCCCATCCTTCCACTGTACAGCTGGCGGGTAGTCCGCTATCCCCCTGCTGTGCTGCCCTCCTGTATTACAGTATTTTCCTGTGTCTCAGAAAAGTGAAGCAGACTGTTTCCTCTACTGAAGGAGTGTTGTCCAAATAATGACTCCTTAATCTGTCTGGATTTAAGCAATTCAGTAAGTGCTCATCGTGACTCACACCAATATCAGATTATCTTGAATAACACTAAACATCAAAAAATTTACAGGGCATCCATTTCAGTTCTTTCTTGTTTTAATCTACTCTTCCAATTCAAATGGGTGTCAAATCCAATACTTCCCAGCATAAGTGTACTATAAAATTATTTAAACAAATTAATCGAATCAAATTTGATGTTCTTATGATGAAATGAATGGTTTTGGAGGGATATATTTTAACATTTTGTGTTTAAAAGGTAGATTGGTCTTTAGTGCTGTGCTGTCGATGCTGTTTCTTTTCTTTTGCCTTTGATGGATGGGAGAAAGGAAATAGTGTGACAGCGTTTGTTTAAACCACCTTAGGAACATTATTGTGTACCTGTTAAACTGAAATAAGAATAAAAAATAGCCAAACTTGAAGCAGGGCTTTATATTTGAAATACTCGATGACAATACTTGTTGAATATCTCAGTTTCTTTTTATGCAGTCTAACAAAATAGCTTTTAGTTTATAATGTGTGCCAATCAAAAAAAGGCACAGAAAAGCAAAAGTGTCTGGAGCATTTAACACTGCTGGGCTTGAACGAAGCCATGGCAGCAGGATCCGAGGCGAGGGCTGCCGTGGGGTAGCATCACTCCTGTTCACCCAGCCCTGCATGGGTTTGGATGCCCATCTGTCCTTTCAGAACAGGATTTTATAGCCCCCTGTCTTGTGCCACATGAGATCTAGAAGCCTGCAGCTCCTTGAGCACTCAGTTTCTGCTGAGACCCACCGAGGCTGCTATTTGAAGACAATTAACTGCTGTGGCTTTGCTGAATAGTCTATTATATATGGTCTGACAGATCATTCTCCCTATTATTATTTTAAATGATAGAGCACAGGGCTCTGCAGGAGAATAAATTGAAACTTCCCATGTCAGTCCCTTGGGCAAACACCATTTCAGAGTGAAGGTGATGTCAGAGAGGGGCTTGTGTTTTTTCATGCCAGCCATGTGGAACGCAGAACACGCACAGGCTCTTCTCTGGCTGTGTGGTCAGCATGTGGCCTTTGGCCAAAGAGAACCAGTTTGGCTTCCACTTACTGCTTTTTGAGCAAACTAAACCAGAAAATGACAGTGTGACTCGAGACATGTAATACAGAGTGGCTGAGCCTCTGGAACAGTATTTTGCAATTACAGTTGGAATTGAAAAATGCTGCAAACCCTGGCATTAACTTCCTGCTTAATGGAAAGTAGTGGGGGACGGAGATTTAAGCTTTTAGGTCTTTCCTGTCTGTTCTCTGCTGCTGCATAATTGTCCCTTTTGTGCTGCATGATGTAGTAGAACAGTATGTTGCCCTTGAGTTCTCGCGGCTGAGAGCTACAGACCCATCCTGGGCACCTGGAGAGGCTGGAGTTTGTCATCAGGTGTCATGATGACTCAGTTCCCCATTACTTTCTCTCTGTAAACCTTTGGTAGTTTTGAAGCACCCTCACCAATAACAGGTTTAGCCAGAAATGGACAGAAATGCACAGAAATTGCTGTGCAGGATGACATATGGAATTGGAGAGAGGAAGGCAGGCAGAGGACCAAGCTGGGAGCACAGGGTTATGGCAGCCAGGGACTTGAGGGGTGAAAGACATTGCTCTGCAGAGCATTTAATCCACTTCTGAAACCAGAGCGAAACATCTCACTTCTGTGATGGTTAATTTGCCTTATGCTATCGACTAGGAAATCTCTCAGCTCATGTGAAGTATAAAATGTTTGCATTTATTTGAAATGTTAAATGTGTTCGTTCTATTGGAAGTACGCAAGGTCAGGTTGGATGGGGCTTTGACCAGCCTGATCTAATGAGTGATGTCCAGGATCATGGCAGGGGATTGGACTAGATGATGTTTAAAGGTCCCTTCCAACACAAACCAGTCTATGATTCTGCTTTAATCTTTAATTTTTCTCTTTCACAGCAGCCTGAAGAGGAGCAATCTGCATGCGATGTCACCAGCTCCAGTTCCTCTGCGGATGACACCATGTCCCTGGAGAGGAACTCATCCCTGGGCAGTGACACATCCCTTCCTTTCCCACCAATGGGGAACTTTGTCCAGCCCAAGGACAGGCACAGCCTGGATGGCAGCTGCATCAACATGGTGGCCACAGAGGGAGGAGAGAAGGAAGAGGAGCTGGACAGTATCACGGATGTGCCCACTCATTCCTCCGTCTTACGGAACTCCATGCGGCCACTGTCACCTTTCCGTCGACACAGTTGGGGGCCAGGGAAGAATGCCACCAATGAAGCAGAAATAAATCAGAGGAGGTGAGTGAAGAGCTGCTTTCATTTACTTTGCACCCACTCACATGTATTTATCAAAGCTTTAGACTTGGCATGATAAAACAGAAAACTGAGATGTCACTTCTTATTTATTTTTCACTCAAGGGGGTGAAGGCAATCTCCTAACCTATGTTTGTTTGTTTTCTTTAAATTAACTTTCAGGATTAAAGTGCTTAATACCTACAGTATGCTTGAGCTTTCCAGATAAAATGGAATTACCTTGGGACAAGTCTTCCATTTGAACTGTCACTACCCCTTTCTTTATGAAGGGCTTTGTTAAAGGAATTACTGGAGTGTTAAGTCTCATTGATCACAAAATAAACACAACCATGATTGCTCTGATTGTATTAAGAGTTAGCACAGGCACCAGTGTTTTATAAATGAGGTGTGGAGGCTTCTCGTAGTGGTGAGGTGGGTAGTCCCTGTTTCACAGAACTGGTCTACCTTAGAGTCTCTTGGACAGTAAGTCTCACCTATCCCATCACCAATGTCCCCAGTGGTGCTCAGGAAGATTCAGAAGGGAAGTTCTTCCATTTGTTCTTTCAGAAGAAGAAGAAGAGGTGCAACAGCCACTTAAGTGTGTAGATGCTGGTGTTAAGTGACTGTGGGAGAAAAGGTGCTGTCTCACCAGGGAAAAATAAGAAGTGGAGGAAGATGCACACCAATAAAGTAGTTGGTGTAAGATTCCCTGCCATGCTCTGCACCAGTCAGCATCTGGGCTGATGGATGCTTGAGGTTAAAGCCAGCGTGTTCTGAAACTGATGGAGGTTTGGCCAGTGTTTTTACTGAGTTTTAACACTTTTAGAGCATGAATGGGCAGTTGTTCTAGCAGGATCAGGGTGCCATATCCTCCTGTCCCTCCCTGTAAGACCTGCAGCTTACAGGGGCTGGAAGCCAAGGTGTGCAGCACAGTGCTGCTCTCCCGGCTGCCTGCGGCCATCTTCATGGCCATGGCTCTGCTTCTAAGATAAACAGAGCTGTTGCATTTGGTGATGCCATTAAGTTAAAGCTGGCCATTCACAACGGGTTCCTGGTAAATTGTTACTGACCTGTTTGGATATTCCTGTGAGAGCCAGCAGCTTCCCATCAGATGTGTGCATCCTTTACATGTTAGGAGCTGTGGGTATCACTAAAGGAATATCATAGACCCTTCAGATTTTAAAGCCAATGGTGAAAAACATTCAGGACCCTCTAAGAAACACAGGATTAAAGATTAATTATCACTATTATTATTGTTTACCACTGCCATCTTTTTTTGGCTTCATTCTTAGTCCCCAGGTAATATTGAACTAATTAAAGTAATACCTATCTTTTTAAAGCTATGAAAGAGTCAGCGGAAGGTATACATGCAGGTTTGTGGTGGGATGAGTCCGTAAGTTCATAAACTCATTTGGGGAGATTTATTTTTAAGTGTAGGACCTGTTATGTACAGATTTCTGAGGGTAATAAACTGCATAGCTGGCAGTTACTGCTAACAGTTAACAGATGGGGTTAAATTCTCCTGTGTCAGACTTTGGAGGCTGTTCCTGATAGGGGAAAATACATTCATTGTAAATGTAAGAAAATTGGAGTTAAAGGAAGAGTAATTGTTCTCGTATGCTCTTAGATGCAGCTGCTGCTGCATTAGGGTGGCTGTCACATAGGTTAATTCAGAAAGAAGAGCTGGGTGGGTCTCTGGTGCTGACTTGATTCCTGTTTGGTTTTGTGTTTCTGTTACAAAGGAATTTGGATTATTTGGGGGGTTGTTTTGGGGTGGGTTGTTTTTTTTTTTTGTTCTTTTCATACGTGGCTGTTGTGATGTTATGATTCTGGTTGCTTAGTGAGCAACAACAAATACTGAGGAATGGAAGCCCAAACAAGTGACTTTCATACAAATCAGTTAGATTCGGGGTGTTTACTTATTCATTTCACATGCAGTAGATAGTTTTCCAATTAAAGGGGAAATCCCTTTATTGTAACTTGACTTTAGTAAACCTTTGAAGTGAAGGAACACAGAGCAAAAGGCTTAGCGAAGATTTGTCCTGCTGATGGACAAGGCTGTGCTGCTCCCACCACTTTCCTCTGATGGCAAAGGTAGCTAAGTCAAACTTAAACAGAGCTGATACAGGACTCGAACTTATGGAAGAAAAAAATCAGTCTTTTGTAGGATTTGGTCTTTTCCATTGTTACATGTTTTATGTTTGTAAGAGGGATGAGCATAAACGTTCACAGAAAAAATGTAATCATCTTGTAATGTGAAAACATGCTCAGTTCCCCTCCGCTTCACCCTTCTCTTCAAATGCACTTCACAGATAATCCTTGTGTCTACATTTTGCTGTTAAAGATACAAAGAAAACTAACAGGGCTGCCACAAAAGGATCTTCATCCTTCAGTTAATTCCTGACATTCACAGCGGATTTGCAATGCCTGTTTTTCAACAATGATGCAGTGTTTTTACGGTTGGTTCCGAGGAAAGAAACGCTGGCATTTTTCACTGATGGATTAAGCACTTCAGAACTGGAGCTCATGTTAAGTGTGGTTGTGAACAGCTTCTGTCAAATAGCTGTCCTTATCTTAACTTTTACCCGACCTGGCTTGGCAGCAGCTAAGTTGCAGTGGGGTCGATACCTGTGAAACCTTCTTTCTGTACATAAAAAAACCCTAACCAAGCCCCAGATTTATTTGTAAAAGAGAGAGAGGAGGAAAAGCAAGACTCATTATTTCCTTTCATACTTCATTTTGTTTTCCCTGTGCATCCATTCTCTCTGCTGTTCATGTGTTGGGGATATTATTCCTTCAGCTGTTCATTTTTTTCCATTCAAGCTGCTGACCACTCTCCATGATTCATTTTCAGTTCAATGCGAGTTCTGGGGGATGGTATAAAGAAGCCTCCCATTCATAGGAGAAGGTACAAAGCCAATTAACGTGACTAACTGTTTTGCGTTCGAAAGTCTACTAACTCCATACTGTCATGTTAGTAAACCTGTAGTACCTCTGGAACCGTTGGCGTTAGAGCTGTGCATCCTGCTTGGCTGCTTTCCCTCACCAGTCTGACCCAGGGCAGCTTTTCTGACCCACAGAGCAAATGCTCAAGCCATTTTCCCCAGGCTATGTTACGTTAATAATGTGGAGAAATCTTTGATATCATTTTGTTGGCCTTTGCCATGTGCAAGATTTGAGTTGTGTTAAAGTAATCTTTTACTTGCAAGTATTACCTGTGCGTAATAAAGCACATCAGAGACTCCTGCCAGGGCTTGCAGGAGGGTTACCTGGGGAGGGGATGCATCAGACACGATCTCAGAGTTGGAGAATACTCTGCAGATCTGAAGCTGCTTGAATTAAGTGGCTTTAGTTTTGCTCTTTTGCTGGTTTTGGGGAGTTCAGAGTGTTTTTTTATAACCATCTTTCATATTTTCTTCCATTTGTGTTTTTCTTCTGTGTACCAGACTTCTAATTTGTCATCCATCATGCAAATATGCAGTTTCACTCACGTAACCTTGGCGGTGTCTATTAACATATACAATAGGACATTTAATTTTGCCACAGCAGACACATGGACTGTCCACACTTACACATTTTTAGGCTGAAAAAAGCGAAGTTTAACCTCCTCCCTTCAGTGGTTCAACCTCTTCTCATCTCCCCCATCTTCTACCTCTGCTTCTGGGGCACGTTAACTCAGGATTTCACCTCCCTTGAAATGGATGGGGTTATGTGTGTGTACAAATAACCTACCATATTTCCACATATGAAAAAGCTGTTACCATTATGTTATTACCAAAGAAATCACCGGGCATTACCCTGCATCAGCATAAATGAAGCCATATGAGCAGTGCTGTACAGTTCAGGAAAGGGGTCTTAAAAAAAGACTGTTTAAAAAAAGCACAAGAAATTGCATCCTTTTTTACTGCTATGAAGCCACTTTATTTGCATCACTCTCTGCTCTTGAGGAAGTGCTCATCTTCTCAGCTCATGCAAATGAACATCTTTTTACCCGCTGTCGGTTCAGGCTCCTCTGTAGGAGCTCTGTTAGTTTTCAGAGTCCTAATATCTTGAAACACTGAGCTTATGGTCTCAAACAGGCAACTTAAAATACTTCATCATACCTGAAATGTGTGTTAATTCTTTCATAAGCATCCTCTTTATTTTTCTGGTCTCCCAGTTGTTTTGGTATAATCCTCTTTAACACCAGTTAAAGAGCAGCAGCCTGAAAGTAATTCCAGCAGTTTATGCTCTCCCACAAGGCTAATGTATGCAATAGCTCATCTCCCCTCCCCAGGTGATCTCCTGTAAAGGGGTTTTGCATGCCCTGATTGATGGTTTTGTTGGATAATGATGAAGGACTTGGAAATATTGGTATGTCATGGGAAGGTATGTCTTCATCAAGAAGGCTTGTGGTACTGTGCTGAGAGCTACTGGTGGAGCATACCTGGAGCTTTGAGGTACAAAGCACAGGTACTTCAGGTGCATCCTCACCCAGTTAACATCCTTAACAAAGCAGGTAGCAATTATCTGAACTCCACTGTTGAAAACAAACTGTCAAACCCTTCCTGAATGTTTCCATTGTTGTACTCTCTGGAAACTATATGAGGACTTGGCATGAGATGATGCAGTCAGTGGCTTTAAACCTTCCCCTGTGCCCTCTGAGGCTTCTGGCACTCATAAGTCCTGGCCCAGGGATGATTAGGCTTGTTCTGCCCTTTCCATAGGCTCCTGGCCATGTGGATTGCAGGCCAGGGGCTGGGAGCAGGATTTGTGCAGTTCTGCTCTGGTAGATCTGTGCTGATGCAAAATTCCTTTCAGACAACGTATGTTTCCTGAGAGCTTTTCCAGGATTTAGGGATCCTTTATATGTGATAGCTGACAAGAAGATTGATTTCTCTGTGTCTGCAAAACCTGCAATTGGGCCACAAGCTGACAGAGGGGAAAAAATAAATAACAAAAGTAGTATTTAAAATAACCACCAAAATATTTGCATTCTATATTTGCATTTCTTGTATCTTTCAAGATGCAACTTGGGATTCTTTTGGGGTATGGGATCTGAAAGTTTATCTAGTCAAAGTACTATTTGAGGACTTGATTTAATCCCAAGTTAACATGAAGACAAGCCGGGTTTTTTCCTTCTTTCTTCACTGATTTGCTGTGCAGCATTTGAGAATGTAACTCTCGCCTTACTTTTCCCAAGTGTAGCCTCAGGTTATTAATATTTGTATGGAGAGGACTTAATTAAATATATCTAAGGGATTCCTTTTCTGATTTGAGTGACAGGTCCTAGAAGAATACTAAACATTACTAACACAATGGATGCATGTGATTACTTAATGCAGAATTGGTTTGGGTATGTTTCAACCTTGTTTTCCCTCAAAACTCTCCCTGCAAGGAGCAGTTTCTCCAATAGATTGTATACCCACTGAGGGGATCGGTTTGGGGGAAGCATGGGCTGTCCTGCCACCCGTTTGATGGTAACCTTGGTCACTTGGAGCACACTGGTGTGTTCTGGCAGCCAGAAATATATAGTAATTACTGCATTATTTATGAGTTTAGGGTTTTTTTTTTTAAGATGTGCAAGAGTGTGAGAGTCTTTTAACATTCCCTTATTCCATAACAATCCATAATCACAGCCCTTTTCCTCTCTTTGCCTCTTTTGATGTTCCTAGTTTGAGCTGGTGTCCCTCTGGTGTACAGTTCATTGCCATGGGTCCTGACTTTACTTGTAGAAGGTACAGTATAAATCAATGTGCAGCAGCAGCAAAGGGGCACTGCAAACACCCTGTCCTCAGCTTCTCGTGCGTCGCCTTTTCCACTGCTGCTCTGGCTGAAGCATGCACGTGTGTGTTTGCTTTGTCTGCTTCTCCAGCAATGAGTCCTGGGAATGGGTCTTTTGAACTGGGGTGCAGGTGAAGGTGGTGGCTGCTTTTTGTTGGCCTCGAGCATTAGAGAAGCTGCACTGTTGGTTTGAGCTGCTCTATTCCGTGATGATTTTAAGGCGTGTTTTTTTCCACAGCAGTGATCATAATGGTAATTGTGACAGCCAAAGAATCAAAACATGAATTAATGTGATTCAGCGCCACTTTGTTCTGGATGGATCTCGTAAAGGATTTAAGTTCATACAGACTTGCTCTTTGTGAACTGGAAGGTCTAGTTTTTTCTTCAAAGAGAATAATCATGTAAAACTTGCTGTGAAAACCCAATCTAAATTTCCCAGGCACTTACAGCTTGAATCTTCTGTAGAAAGTCTCTGAGTTGAGATTGCTGCTTGCAAATCAGATCTTTACCTGATACTGCCTGGAAGCCAGTGTCCCAGATTCTGTAGCCTTATAGCTTTCCTCTGGCAGTTCTTGCTGGTTGTGGGTAGAAATATTAAAATCATTTTCTGAAGACTAGATATTAAGAAATAATCTGTCCCTGTTACATATTGAATTATGTTTGGTCTGTGTATACAAGTTACAGATCGGTATCACCCACTGACAACTTTTTATGGGCTAACATTTGCAGTTTTGAGCTGTTTGTGTCATAACAAACTACATGTTGGTTTTTCCGTACTGTGTAGCATCACTGTTAACACTTTGGGCTGCAAGGAAAATAATATTCTTCTGCCATAAATAATCAATAGAAATGGGACTGACTTCTCTCTGCAGGTGTTTTAGAATAAACTTCATAATGCCTGCTACTGATACACATTGTTGAGTCAAAATCTTCTTTACAATTTAATCTGCTTTAGCAGATTAAGTTGTAAATGCCTCAACTAGTCTTCTTTCTCTCTAATTACCATGAAAAAGTCTTTAAGAATGACTAAATCTTCTTATTCAAGGTTTATTGCAATTTTTGCATTGAAGGTGCATATTTATCAGCCACTTAATGCTTCTAAAGGAATGCAGAACATTAATCACCACTATGCAAGTCTACCTGAATTTAAAGCTGTTTCGGTTGTTTAAATAATCTGTACAGTTTAGAGTGTGCTTCCCCCTTCACTTGCTTAAATGTCAGCTTTTTGGCCACTGAGACATGATGGTTACCCTCAGGTTGAGGTATATATCCAGGGTAGGTCTTGCTTCAAACGAGCAGGACTTTGTGAGTTTCGAATCAAACATTAACCATGGAGTTGTGCTAGTGTACCAGGAGGTGAATCTGTAACACTTGCCCTTTAGCCCAAACTGGCATTGCAGTGGATTTATCAATGCTTAGGGGTAACGAGCAGGAAGGGTAGAAGCAAAGATAATATCAAGAAGATATATCAAATTGAAATAGTTACATGTGAAAAAGGGAGTGTTTTGTGTAGGTGAGAAGAGAGTATATGAACGTCTTTCTGTAGAGGTTGCTTGTCTGTCAGTAGCTGTCTCTACAGAGGCTGGCCAAGCTTTTTATTACTACCAATTCTGCAAGTGAAAGTTTGGGATTTTGTTTGGCTCTGTTGGACAAGATGTAGCTTCCTCAGCAAATGATAAAATGGATGGGTTGGCTGATGGAGGCAACATGCAGTGAATTAAAAAACAGAAATAATAATAAAAATAAAAACTAAAAAATGGGGAAAAGGAGGAAAAAAAAAGAAGCCAGCTTTGGCAGAAAGAAGGACATTACCAGTGCCAAAGTTTTGTGCAGCGCCAAGTGCTAAATAGATTGAGAGAATGTGTCTGCAGAGGTGAACGTTGGGTATTGGTCCAAGACAGACAGCACCATGCTAATACAAGGTAGCGTAATTTGAGTGACTTTATTCCAAGGGAGAGCCTAGTGAAAGCTACTAAAGAGAAAATGTGGAAATATAAAAATCTTTAGAATAGGTGTTTCTAGATTTTTCTGTGCACCACTCAAGGAGAAAAAAAAGTAGGAAGGGCTACTGACCAGGAGTATGAATGGTTGGTTGAGCAACTACTGTGTCTATTAGAGGTACAAAGATGCTGCTGTTTGTTCTGAAGCAAACAGGGAACCCTTCCACTGCTGTCTGCACTTGGTTGTTAAAAAAGTAACTTGCTGAGGAATAACATCAGCGTTTCCCTGCACAGTTCAGTTAGTGGCTGCCTTGTGTTTTACTCTTGAAGGTGCTGTGTGCTGAAAGACACTGATCCCTGAGAGTCTGTTAGCATCTAACCACCATGCTTTCTCTTCAGTTACAGCCTAGAAGGCCTTGCTGGAGACTCTGGTGAGAACAAGAAGCCCTCTACAAACTTGGAGGCAGCTTCTCTGAGCTCCAAAGACCTCAGACGGAGTCCACTTGCCAGCAACCAGTGCGGGTCCCTGGTCTTGCTCACTGAAGAGCTTGAGCAAGGGGAAATGAGAGACTATGATCACCAGGTAAGGCTGTCCAACTATTGTTAGATATCTAGAAAATGATACCTCCATGTTTTGAAAGTCATCTTCCCAAGTGAAGGCTTCCACCATATATATATAATATTAAGATCTTCCATCTCTAACGTGGAAGAATTTCCACTGTGTTGAATTTGCTTCTTGGTTCTCTGGGGCAACATGGTTGATGGGCAAAGTCTTGGAGTGAGAACAGGAAAATTCTTAGTTTTCTTCCACTGATGGCATGAGTGATTGTGGAAGAGTTACAAACATTTTAGTATGGATGTAGGTATACTATCAGTCAGAGGTGTTGTAAGGTTTCTGCAATTAATGCTTGTGCTCCCTTTTGCAGTCCTGAAATACACACAAAGCGCCAAGTAGTAATTTGTCTGCTGGAGTTTTCAGGTTTATTTTCGTATTGTAGGAGGAAAATAAAGATTTTTTTTTTTCTTTCATAGCTGTAACCAGAATCAAAAGACCCATTATAATAAGCAATAGTTAAGCAAAATTTTAATTGCATATTAAGAGTGGCCTCCCTGGAGCGGAAGTCTGTGATAGCTATTGATGTGCCACAATATTATGAGAGTCTCTGCTTTTTTTATTAAAAGAAACAATTACAGCCTTAAATACTCTAATACGCTGGATTTCTGAGTTTGAAGTTTCAGCCATAGTATTTTCTGGGTTCATGCCAGAATCATTAGCCAGCCAGTCTCTTTACCTCATAAAGTCACTGCTGTACATGAAGGCAGTAAACGGGTCCTGCAAGGTCTGGCCTGTAGAGCTGTGATATCATGACTCTCATGTCTTCTCTTGCTTTGAGGAATGACATTTTTGGAGAACACACGGCTAAGCATCGTATTTTTTACCATGCTGAACCACAGTCTAGTTATACTGAGAAGCTGGAATCACAGCAGTAATTCTAGTGGCCAACAGACAGTTACCAGCATCTGTCTTGCAGTATCTTGCAAGAAGATCAAGCAGCCAGAAGCTTGCCATTTCTTGCATAATTAGTTGTCTTACACTTAAGACAAAGCAAAACGTTGCATTTTACCTGTTTAACAGTTTATATTTTTCATGGTCATTGCATTTCTCACCTATTAACTGGGATCACTGAAACTTTCCGCTGTTTGAAAGTGAGAATTTCAGTAAATGTGAGCACTGATCTGAAGCCAGGATGGTGGTGCTGTTCTTGACATACTTGCTCAATGTGCTTATTTTCTGTTCTGCAGATGCATCAAACGTCACAGCCACAAGGATTTAATTTCTGCTCTTCTGCTGTTTCATCTCCACTGACCAAATCTATGTCTCTAATGTCAATTAGTAAACCAGTGCTGGACAGTGAGTAACACAGTTTTTCCTTATCCATTCTGTCACCTGTATTATTAAGTGTATCTTGCTACCTTCCCAAGGCAGAATTTGCTAGTACCTGCTCTTGCTTTCCTGTATTATGTGAAATGTTTCACTGCTGCATGGAATTGCGGGTGGAAAGGCAGAACTCATTCAATTTAGAGTCTTCTGAACACTGATAACATGGAAGCTTGCGAATCCATGTGTTGTTCTCCTTGGGGGAGTTCATTGCTATTTATTTTGAGTTAAATGTTTTGAGGCAGTTGGGTGTAATTTATTGAATCTCATTCCTGAAGAAAATAATGAATGATGATGAGGTGAAATTTTTCAGTTTAGCTTAATTGAAGTGATAACAAGAATTCACTTCTTTCAGTGAATTCAGCAACATCACTGGATGGATTCTTGCAGCTGAAAAAGTCATTCAGAAGACTGCAGCTGGATGTGCTTAGGAAAGGCCATGTTACACATGCTTTCATTTTATTAATTGCCAGCCAGAAACTGTATTGACATTTTAGATTGCTCTTGTCAATCAGCGATGGTCTCTGATCTTTTCCTTTTTATTAATATGCTTCTTCCTTGCAAAGCTGAACAAGTGAAAGGCACTTTTAAGAAGGGTGTTTTATTCATTCAGGAGGTTTGCTGGTAGAAGCTCACAGATATTGCACTTTGTAGATGTCTTTAAATCCTTCACCATCATTCTTCTGTGATTAATAAGCACGTGGCCTAACGGATGTGCTCCTCAGCAACGGTAACCAAAGCACAGGCAGGTCTGTCCCGTGGAAAGGCCGGCTCCTGCTCCATGCAGTGGCGCACCCCTTTCCTCACTGGGCTGAAGACCTTCATTATTACTTCTCTTAAGCAACCAATTTATTGCTATTGGTAACCAAACACTATGAATAACTTGGCTAGCTCCCAGCGAGTGGGCTGTTGGTGGCTGAGAAAGCTTGGTCAGCTGAGGTTTATCTGCCTCTCCCTTGAGACTTCCCTTCAGGCTTGTGGCAGGGGTTATGACAGGGGAGGATTGTACCTCCCTCTTGGAATTGGACAATTTCCTGCCTTTCCACTTTTCTCTCTCTTCTTTGACCCATGTTAAAAAGGCCATTGAGGCCTGAGCTGGTGGTAGATAGGTTTGGTTACCCCATCTTTTTCTAGAGACAGCCTTGCCACGATGGTCGTGTTGAGAGAGAAGGAAGAGACGTAATAAGATTCCAGAGTGATTGTGAAAGAAATACCAGGGTTAGTCTTCTGCTTTGAGGTGGATGTCTCTGAGTTTTGGACACTAAGGTTAAGAATTACTAATGCTTCTGTGAGCTTTATTTTCTCAGTTGTTAGTTTGTGACTCCTCAGAAGGGCCTCGTTGTTATAGCAGTGTTGTTTCTGAAAATCAATGCATTTCAGGCGGTTGGGGTGAGCAACCAAAAGGATTACTCTTCCCAACTCTGGGATTCTTTTCACAGGTCATGGACTCTCTTCCCAACTCTGATGCTTTCCCGACTTTGGAAATGTCAGAGTATCACTTGGTTCTTCCTCAGTCACTTTCAAAGAGGAATAGTGTTACTTGAGTTGTGATCATAAGTACATGTAAAGCAGCTTAGTGCCTTTCAAAAGAAGATCTTGTTTAAACTCCCTTGTTATCACCTAGCTTTGACACTCGTATTACTGCAGCAGAATGCGTGAGAGAGATGCGAGAATAAATCCTTGATTTCATGGAGATGAATTCCAGGAAAACTTGCCCTTGCATAATTTTGTGGTAGGTGTTCAAAACCGAATTCTCAGATCCCTGCAAACGTGCCCGAATGGGAAGAAAGCAACATGTTCTGCACAAAGCTTCAAAAACTAAATCCAAATTAATAAACATATGGAGGGCTTTCTCTTGTTTTTCCTGTTTATTGTCATGTGAACTGAGGCAGGAGCAATTTCCAAGACCGAGTTTCTAGCCTGTACTCCATCTGATGTCTCAGATGTTCCAAGAGCTGCTGTGGCCATTCACAACTCTTAATCCTTCAGCATTTTACAGAGAGAGGTCACAAGAGCTGTTGGCTGGAGTGCTTGGAAGACTGCTTTCAGCTTTGGAATAGCAAATTTCCAGTGTGGAGCATCGTTATAAAGCCAGGAACTACTATAAATAAAACCACTGAAATGGAAGTTGAGTTGAACTGTGCTGGAGGAGGTGGTTCTATTTACAGTAAAGTATTATTGTTCATCTTGACTTTTAGTCTAAATAGACAGCAGACTACAGAAGAAAGAAAGCAGTGTTGCCTAGTCATGTTCTTCAGGTCTGGGACACTAAAACTACTCCTTTGAAAGGCAGTCTAAACAAACTAATGTACAAGTCTTGCTTAGAATTCTTCAATTTAAATGCCTTTCATTGGGTCCCTCCGTGGTTGTTCTGCTTACGTTGGAAAAGTGTGCATATAGTTTTAGTCAAATTGCCTCTAAGCAACTGGCATTTGTGACTAATGGCTGTAGGAGAATTTCAGGGGAGTTTGCTTGCATTGCATTGGATATCCTCAGATAGTATTTTCATATTCTCAATTCAGTTTGGGATTATGATATCAGCAATACAAAACATTCTCTTTGTATGTGGCTGAAAGGGCACGTTTTGCTCAAAGAGACTAAAAATTTCTACTTCCTTCTCTTGGAATTTTAATACTGGTAAGGTCTTCAGCGTCTTTCCCCTGTTGTACAAGTGAATTGATTTATCCTTGCCATGGAATGACCTAAAAGTACTTCAGTATATGCACTGAAGATGTTTGATGTAGCTGCTTAATGTAGGACCCTTAGGTCAGACCTGACCCAGGGTCAGAGTTTCCCAGTCATTTTTCCTGAGGATGCACTGATGTACCATATGAGTGATGGGGACGCAGCAACTTTGAGTTGTTCTAGTTCAATTCCCTGGCTGTTATTTCAGTGAAGCAGATGCCCTTTGTCCAAAGATCCACTAAGTTGTTGGTATTCCGTTTGGGAAGATAACGGTTCAAATTTAAATCTTCATGAAGAGGTCCTATAAAAAGATGGCAACAAAAATATGGAAAGCCTTGAACCTGGAGTTATGCATGCAGCAAGACCTGCATCCTCTGGAACCTGCATCCTCTGGAAATTGCACGTTCTCAATTCTTTGTTTCTTGTGCCTTTTCTGAAGCCAGCTGCTTTGCAGACATTTCCTTTGCCTTGGTTTTAGTTTGCTTTGGCCGCTTTCCTCTCCTTTATGTTATTAAATGCATTTTCAAGCATGCTCTAATATCTGCTGTTAACCCACTTCTCAGCCCAGGGCCGGACTCGACCATCGAGACGAATCTCCTTCTCCTTCAGCATCTCTCCACTCATTCCTAAGTCTAAAACTCTCTTTTCTATTGGCTCTTCTTCCAGTGATGAGGAGGAGGAGCTGGATAGTAAGTAATTGTTTTCTGTGCATTGCAGCCATTATGAGCGGAAACAAAGGGAAATCTGGTTTCCTGCTTCAGACCTTGAAGTTTCACCTTGCAAACTTTGAATGAACCTTTTCACTGCATGATGTCTAACAGCATTATCTTAGTCCTGTATCTGAATACTAACTAATAGCAGAATAAAAGGATTATAATCCAAAGTCTTATACATCAGCACCACCACATCTGATCTGGTCTGTATCCAGGTGGCAGATATCATCATCTGCCACTCTGACCAGCAGTATAGTCGTTATCTTTTTATTAAAACCAAAATACTTGTCTTGAGGTTGTTGCCATGCATGGAGTTAACAGAAGAGGTAGATCCTTGCCCCTCCATAGGTGAGAATAAGTACAATACTCAGTGGAAGTAGGAGAAAAGGAAAGAATCCCTGATACTGAATTCCAAAAATCTTGGTTACAGCTTCCCCTCCTGAGCAAAAAGCAAACATTGCAACCCAGCACCTTACATCATGAAGGTGCTCATATCTACATCATGATTATAATCAGAGTAGTTTTGTTGGGAAACAGACAACTGTTATATGATAGCTTTTTTTTTCCCCCTCCTGTAAACTCCATTGCTAAAAGAAGTCCAACTGAGGCAGAAGATTTAATTAATTTAGGCTCTTCTTGGTTTTTTTAAATAGTTCTATCAAAGATAATTGAAAATGTTTTCCATTTCTTAAGCATGTTTTATTAGATTGTTGAAATAAACCAGAACAGAGAATGCTCTATCTAAATGAAATTCAAAGTAGCTGCATTAGTTGGTTCAAATCAAAGGTTTGCAAGGGAACTATCCCACATCCCTCGTGTCCATACTGGCATGGGGGAAATTGCTTTCCAGTCCAACAGATTTTGGTTGCTTCTTAAATTTAAACATTCTACACTCCATCTGTGTTGTAGGTATCTAAATTCTCCTCCTTTCCATTCCCAGTCTTCACTGTGGGTTTGTTCCTTCCCAACAGAAAGTCCTGTGCTCTTCCCAGGTGTGATACTACCCACTTCCATATTTAAGCTTCTCCCTCCTTTCCCCTTTGCTCTGTCCTTCTCTTCTGTCTTCAACAAAGCACTCGATTCATGGTCCCCACAAAGTGAATTGCAAACACACAGCTGTGCACTGGTGTCCTGCTCCCACGGTTAGAAGTACTCTTAGCTAAACTTTTTGATGGATTTGTTTTTTTTTCATGGGGTTTTGCCTGTTTTGGGAGTTTGGGTTTTTTGGGTTTAGTTTATTTTTGTTTGGTTTAAGCATCCAACCAGTTAAATAATTCCTACCAGTCAGGATAGGGTATAGCAGTTTTGGGGGTGTTTCTGTTGGCCAGTATTTATCTTCTTTCCCTCAACCAGTGCTGCTGTTAACAATAAGCATTAAAATAATGTCAGATATTGTCTAAAACAAAAATGTGCTTTCTTTATGCGTGTTTTATTCCCTCATATTTGAGGGTACTGTGGTGACTTTATAAAAAGGCTGGTTTAGCCACAGCTATTCATAAGACTGCTTTGGCAATGGGCATTTTTCATGTAGTAATCCCAGACCAGTTTGTTTATTTTTTCACATGTTCAGGGTTCATTTCTCATGAGAGGATGGATGGATGGATTGATTAGCATTGAGTCTACGCTTGGATTTCAGTTTCCGCTCCTCAACCTCTCCATGCCTGGTTTTCACTAAATTAGTTGAGTTTCTATGATAGCATGATATATCTATATTTAAGATATATCATGATATATTTAAGATGTTCATGATATTTAAGCTATATCATGATGTATCTATCTATATTTAAGATATAGATTTCAGGTGGCTGAACAAGGCCAGTCTGTGCATTTAGAAAACTATTCTGAAGCATTTGAATTTCTTGACCCACAGACGTTTAATTGCTGTCAGCATTAAGGGGTTGTGAGCTGGTTTCTTCTGTTTGCAACATCCTAATCCAGTTGCTGTTTTCTGCATAATTGTGCTGAAAAACAGTCACTAATATCAAATTATTACATCTCTTGATTCAGTGTTCATATTTCTTACCTGACTGCAAAGACACAAAAAGGTGTGTGAAATACTTAAATCCAGTCAAATTGATGAATCTATTAATAAAAGGCAAGACTAAGGAAGCTTAACCCATGTTAAAGGCAAACTAGAACTGAAACAAGAACCAGTCACTGGAGCATTAACCAGGGATTTGGAAGTCTGTGTATTACTTGTGTGATCTTAGTAGGCGCTTAGGTAGTGGATGTTATATAAAAACCTAGCACAGTCAGGAAAGCAAGTAGTAGACTTCATTTGATGTATGTTACAGTATTACTAACTTTGATGTATTTGGGATAGATCATTAAGTAGATGAAAGATTTTGCAAGGGAAGTACTAACAGAGATCTCCAAGCAGGGATTAGGTAATGGGATATGCTTGTACTTTAGTTTCTCAAGATGAAGAAATGGTATTTCTGTCTCAGGCTGTGTTGACACTTGAATCAGCAGTTAGGAAAATGTGTATTTCAGAATCATAAGGCATAACAGTGTATGCACAGTTTTTCCTAATGCACTTACTGCTTTTGGATAGAGGACTGTCTTTACCTCTGATGTCACGTGGCTCTTCTGCACTCACCCTTAGCTTTAATATGTGAACAGAATTTGAAGCCAAAGTATTGCTTTGCTTACAAAGCGTAATAAGATGGTCAATCATTCTGCTTCTTGAACTTCAGATAGGACTGCAAACAGTGCTTGCAGTGAGGGCTTTTTGGAGTCCTGACAAGCCCAGTTAACCTGGAGACTACCCTCGCTTCAGCTCATCCTGATTTTTCAGTAGTCTTTGATGGTTCTGGTAAATGGTGTGAGCTACCTCATCTGCTCCAAATGCATTGTGCAAGCAGGTTTCTTGTGCTATAAAGAGAACTTGTGTCATTGACAGGGCTTCAGCTTCATGGCGAAAGTCAGACTTTCCTCAAGCACAGTGTTTTGTGACTAAGCCCTAGGCTGGTAATATTTAATGGAAAATGGAATAAGGCTTCCCTTGTTTCTCTTACCCTTTATGAAGTGCTTCAGGATTTTGATGGGAAAATGTACTATAATTTTATCAAGTAGAAAAGTTTCATACATGAAACCCGGATGTGTTGCACAGTAGATTCTTTCTAGTGGTGTATAAATTAAAGCATTGTGGCAGAATGATTCTCGTTTGTACCTATTGTCGTTGAATTGGCAGTTCTGATTCAGATACCCTGATTTACCAGCACATTTAATGGATGCACATGCTTTGCTTAACAGCTGAAGAATGGTAAAAACTCTAAGCATGCTTTCACCTCAGCACCTAATTTGAGAGCACCTAAGGATACAGGGAACCGGCTTTATCCTGAGCACATGAAATCTATTCTAAACACTCACTTCTGGAAAACATTTCCTCTTCCTCTTGAACCGTCCAAATACACAAACTCTGTTTTTAAACTCAGTGGCCTAAGATTGCAGTCTAACATGTCCTCCCCCCTGCCCCTCCGATCTTTTCCAGGTACGCAGGCATTCGGCAGCCCCACAGCTTCCTCGGTTCAAAGGTACAGTATTCTGGGGGTGCCACATCTCTGCTGGTGGGATTCCTGCAATGGGCTCTGATTCAGATACCCCAAAGCCTTCCTGGCACCAGTGCCCTTCAGCCGAAATCACAAGTTGTCAGGCTTCTGAAAATCAGTCCTGTATGTCTAAAGGCTGAAGAATATTATAGATCATAGAATATGAAAGTCTGTTCTAGGTCTTGTCTCTAACAAGGCTTTGTGTTTACTCATAGCTAGTAACATACTGGATTATCTGTTATCAAACAGTATCAGTTTACTCTGAGTTATATTTTACACTAAAAGTAGTTGTTCCTCCCTTTAATCAAGTCTGTTTATATTTCTAAAATGAAGGCCAAAAAGATCATGTTTTTGACTATTACTTTTCATCCTTGCAAGCTGTAGAGAGGAGATAATCTTTCTGGTGGGTGCCAGCTTTAAAAGTGCTTCCCTGGAGGAAGGACATTTGTGGTACCAAAGGAGCTGAGTGTCTCGTCTCTGTGTCACTCTGATAGCTTTGGCTTCATTTTGTGGCTGGGAGGCTCCTTCTTTGTGCTCGCTGCTGTTTTCTCCTCCTTGATTTCATTTGTCTTTCTGTTCGTTCTGCTTTTGGTTTGTGTTGTACTTCCTATTGACAGACTGTGTCCTTTAATGCAATGATAGTTTCCTCCATAGCTTCTTATTCTATTATAGAAGATGAAGTCATAAGCTTGTGCATGTAGAGACTGGCAGAAAATATCAGGCTTCCCAGAAACACCTCATTTGATGCAAATAACTGTTTATTACTGGGTATTGGTAGTCTCATTCCTCAAGGGAGGCTTTGCAGTGTGGTTTCTGGTAAAGACACTCACTGCCTCTTCAGAGTTTATTAGATGTCTTCCTCTATAAGGAGATTTCTCTTTTCTTAAGAAGAGATGTGTGTACGTCGATCCTTTTATGTCTAAAATACTGCCAAGACTCGCTGTGTGTCTGCAGTATTTGCCATGTAACGGGCTGACGCTGTGAGCTGGTTAGTGGTTATTTGGCCACAAGAGCAGCAGAGGGTGCTGTGGCATGGTTCGACAGTGGAGATTGCTTCCAAAGAAGTAAAAGGATTCCTTGAAATACAGGACAAGCTACTGGATTGGCATTTTGTCTTCACTCTGCTTTCTTCAGTAAAAAGAAGCATAAAACAACCTGTCACTTTATTGGATAATAACTACGTTTGTCCTTTAAAAAAGAATCTATCCATTTAACAAATGCTTTGGGATGAAAAGAATAATAAAAGCAACCTCTTTCTTCTTTGATTTTAGCATATCTGAAGAGAGCAGCAGTGTCCCCGCTGGTAAAGGTGCAACCAAAGTCAGTCGCACCTTCAGCTACCTCAGGAATAAAATGTCCAGCAGCAAGAAGAGCAAAGTAAGTGCTTCCTGTGATTTATACAGCCGTGAAATACCCATAGGTAGCAGTGATGAATTCTGTGTTTCAATGTGTTCCCATACGGTGTTATTTATGTCTTTGCCTGACTCCCTTCTCCTTTTGTGAGGGGAGGATGGACTGTGGGGTAATAGAGAATATCTACATGGGAAGTCTTAGCACCCCAAAACTGAAATGCACCTGAGGTGAGTTTTCATGTGCAGTGGTTTTGCCTTTTTACCCAACAGAATGAAGCTTCATTTATTATAGAGAAATAGATTGCTCTCTGGGATGAGTTATGTATTTGCAGTGATGGATGGGTCTAATTTGTACAGAACCTGAGAGGTGTTTAATAAAACGAGGACAGGAGCTGTAAGAAGAGACTGTCTGCCGAAGGCTCTGTTGTGTTTCCCTTTTATTTCTATTTATTGCCACAAAATCCCCATGCACTGCTGAAGAAGTTGCTCAAACAGTGACCTTTAGGGATGGCCAATATTTATATTTTCCCCTTGTTTCCATCCTTGAAAACCTGGGGTTTAATTTGCTGAAGGTTAAGCACTGCTCAGCACAGCTGAATTTCCTGGAAACAGTGTTGGTTATAGAAATAACTACATTAATGCTAAATACTTCACACACACAGGCTGTTGTTGCCTTAGATTGTCCCCTGAAGATTAATACATGTTGGAGGGTTTTTGGCTTGGTTGGATTTTTTACTTAAATCCCTCCTCAGTTCATCATGTCTGACAAGCTAACATCACCTTACCTCACAGTAGGCTGTGTGTATTAAATAGTTAGGTGATGTGTAGCTAAAATGTTGGTAAATACTATAGAAGGCCCCTGAGACACATAATTACATATTCTGATGAGTGTCTCAGTAGCAAACAGGAAACAAAATGTGGCATAATGAGCATTGTGCCTATTGCAGAATAAGACTTGGGCTGAAACATAGATGTATGGGGGGAGACACATTTCATCTGCACAAACTTGATTTTAGCCTTTCCTAACATAAGCACTCGATGTTTCAGCCTGAGGATTCCTCTAAGATAGCTGGGTTTGTGAGCGCTGATGCTCCAACACACATTTTGATACTCATTTTTGGAAGATTGCATCACCTTTGCAATGAGGTTACCAACTCTAGTGAGATCAGTCATCCTAACGCACAGTTCCTCTTTATGGCTCTGCCTTTCAAGATGAGAGCAAGAGCTGCTGCTCTGCAGCTTTAACACAATGCTGTTCTCTGCTGCAAAATGCAGTGTAAAAGTAAAAGATCTGTTTACACAGAAACCCCTGTGCAAACCACTAGTGAGAAGTTGTGGAGCACGTTGCACAGCCTCTGAACGAGTCTGGAAATCATTAACTGGTTCTTGCACTTCAGGTGTATAATCTCTAAAGCAAGAACTGGAGATGTGTATGTATACACACACACACACACTGGAGATATATATGTATACGCACACACAGAGATAAAAGAGATCTGGTTGGGACAGGTGAGAAAATAGAAGTGTTTTAAGATATTTGCTTTGCTTTTGTTAAATAAGTGCACTCTGATTTCACCAGTTACATATTTGTGTCTGAAATGGCTCATAAAGATTTGCTCCAGCATCCCAACAATAACCTGCACTGCAAAGCTCATATCGTTTGTGGTATTTCTACTAAAAAGCCGTAATATTCAAATTACAGTTTCTTGTCTGCTTGCAGTGGCGTGTTTGCATTGCAACAGTTTGAAGGCTTCAGCTGCACATCTAAATAATTTGGCCTAAAACTTCTTGGGAGCACTGATGTCTGAGAACATTCTGGCTGCTGAAAACCTGTGAGAGTTAAAAATTAAAAATAACAAACCTTGAAAGAGGAAGTTGGACAGGAAGAGCTGATTTCTGCTGCTGTCAGGGGGGAGGGAGGATGCAACTTCTTTCCAACTAGATTTTACTTTTCTTCAAACCTCTAGAACCCCGTTTTCTAAGACGAACCATGAAATAAAGCACATCAGAGGCTACTAATGGCAATGGCTCTTTAGAAATGGTGTAGAAAGTTGTGCAAAAGCCCCTAAAAATTAAGGGGTGTTTGGAGTGTTTAGCTTCAGGGGATACTGATAGGAGTTTGTGTGAATTTACCCATGTCTGGAATGTCCTTTGTGTTATTTGGGGATTAGTCAGGGAATCTCTTGAAATCAGGAGCATGCACGGATTCATGTTCATGAAGTCTAAATTGTGACAGTCTTTCTCTGTCAATTAGAAAAAAGAAGAATACTCATTTTCTTCCTTTGGTAGAGAGTTTCTGGGAAATGATGACAGAAGATTAGCATGAGTAATTTCTGTTGATTTGCATTAGGCAGTGCTGTACCACCAACAGCGCTTCAGTGTATATAGTAGGAGTTGTAAGTGTTTGAAAGGACTAGGAGACGGAATATTTGTGACTTGTAGAGCAGGAGGAGCACAAACACATGAAGCCTTTCTGTCTGGGAAGTCTTCTGCAGCACTTTGTTCAGTGAAGTACTACATAGCAACACTGAGGTATGTTAAAATTCACTTTTTCTGTATCCCAGACATCACAGAGGGTTTGGTTTGTCACCTTCTTCTGCCTTTTAAGTGGGTGGTCTTCTATTGGCTTGTGTCTTCTATAATATTAATCGCATCTTTTTCTGCCTGTATTACTTTTTAGTGTGGCTTTTAGCAGTGGAAGCTGGGGTAGGGCAAGATGAAAGCAACAGCAAAGTAGTTAAAATCATCTTCAAGGAAGTTAGCAGCATTCGTCCCGCCCTCCTGCTTTCCTCAGCTGCTTTCTGACTGCCGCGCTGGCCGCTCGCGGCCATTGCAATGGGCTGATGCTGGTGGGGAGCAGCTCTCCTGCCCCCAGGGGAAGGATGTCAATTAAATGGAATAAATTTGCCGAAGTACCTCAAATAACAGTGAAGCTGGTAGGACTTAAGCAGTGGGAGGTAAGACCTTCGTGGTTATTTCGGAGCGGGACCCGCCGCTGCAGCGCATGCTCTCGTACAGCCGAGCTGTGGTACCCAGCGTGCCTGTTGCTGCCCATCGCCACAGGTTCAGCCATGAAGCTGAGCTTCAAGTCCTGCTGGCAGCTCCAGTAGCACAGGAAAATGGGTTTGTTTTTACAATACCTTTTCACAAAAGTTCCACTAACTTGTCACACGAAAAAAAATAGCAAAGAGTAAATACAATCTCTTTTTGAGACCTTGTGTTTCAGTGGTATGGCTGGCACCCCGTGTATGAAGTTCGCTGTTTCCTCCTTGAAAGTGGTGCACACATTTCCTGTTTTTCCTGGGGTTGTTCAGCTTTAATTAAAATGGTTTTTAGAGAGATTTTTATGAAGCGAGGGTGTTATTCCAGACTGTAGAATTACTGGGCTTTGCAGTAAGCATCAGGTATGTTTAAAGTATAGGACAGTGAATCTTCTTTCAGCGTTTTAATCATGAATGATGTAAGTTCTGCCTTGAGCATAGAGTGATCTTTTCTCCTGGAGCTTCACAAGTCCTGGCAATAGACTTGATACTTTCAGCCAAGGACTAAACTGCAGAGTTTTAGCTCTTGAATCCTGCCTGGCTGGACATGGTTAAAGGTGGGAGATCAGCAGATGGACAGTGGTGCTGTGGAGGTTTACACAGGGTAGTGATCTAAGCTGATGGCTCAAAGGAGGTGGAGATACGCCACAAAGCAGGCTTTTTCTGGCAGGTTTTCTGCTTCAGACAGGATTATTCCATACGGTTATGCTCCTGGTTTTGCTTCTTTGCAGAACAGAATAGCGTTTGAGTCCAGTAAATAGACTTTCTGTTTATGAGGCTTTGCAGGGACAGACTCTGACACTGGCACTTTGCCTGGGGTGTGTTGGGAGAGGGGAGACCTTAGGCTGAGTTACTTATTACTTGAGTGTGTCATCAGAAGTTTCCCTGCTGGTGACTGCAGAGCTCAATACCTCTTTTAACTGCTTCATGGCAGTCGCTCATGTGGGCTGCTCTCTGATGTTTAGCTGTGACAGTATTTAGCAAAAGGCATGTGGCATATAAATAACAAAATGGAAAGATAAGCTTACAGAAGCCTTTATCAGTTTCTGGATAAGCTTCTCTTTCAAGTGCCACGAAATCTGCAGTAATGGTTAAAATACAGATTGTATGGTAAATATTTTGTAAAGTGGTACATAGATAAGGAGTTGCTGTAATTCAAATTTGGAGTTTTTCTATAGAGTTTCCTTCAAAAATTGTTCAGGAGAATTCCAAATCCACAAAAGGCTTCACAGAAAAAATACTCCAGATTTTTAGTATTTAGCATTTTCTATCTCTTTTACATAGGAAGTAAGCAAAAACTCTGCTAAAAGTTGGAGAAGCTGGCTCTGCTTGTCATCTTGCCAGAGCTGAGTAGCCCAGAGGTTGAACTGTGGCTTCTGGAACACGAGATAATCTTTTACAGTGTTGCTGCTGTTCCACAGCCTTTCTGTAGTGCCATATTTCAAGAGTTTGTGAAAGATCCATTTGCCCAAGAAGTTTCACATGGTTACTTGGGGTTGCGTGAAACTGACGAAAAAGTTGGTAGTCAGAAGGAAAATAGAGGTGACAATATGCTGGCAGTGATGCTGTGCAGGCAATGAGGAAGAACGTGTGTTTTCCATTAAACATGCAGTTGTTAGAGATTGAGTCTTACAGGTTGGCCTTAAAAATTACCTGTGTTGGAAGTTTGATGCATGTTACACATGGTGATTGTATTTAACATAATTTATTGAAAGTGCTGAATTGATTCATGAGAGCCCAGAAGAGGTAAGTGAGTACACCTAGCAAATATAAAACAAAGGTGGAGGAAGCTGCTGCTTGCAGAACAAGACTCAGTTTCATCCCCATGCAGAAGGCTCTGCAAGTCCATAATGTGTTAATCCACGTGCATGGGGGCTGAAAGCTGAAGTTTTCAGCAAAGCTGTGCAGACACGTGGCTATTGTTCAGGTGTGCACCAATCGATATTGTCATAGTGCCAAAGGCAAACACTGTAGAATTTGTAACTAGAGGAGAGACCTCTGCAAATTAACACCCTGTTTCTTCATTTATCTCTCGTCAGGAAAAAGAGAAAGATAAAGAGAAGACTAAAGAGAAGGAAAAAGATTCCAAGGAGAAAGAAAAAGATAAGAAGCTGTTAAATGGACATCTCTTCACTGCAACCTCCGTTGTAGCCCAAGCAACCTGTTACCACTGTATGAAACCTTTCAATAAGGATTCGTACTACTGTGCAAGTAAGTTGGGGCCTTTTTCCTCCCCTTCCTTTTGTTTTTCATTAAATCTGACATGGGAAATGAGAATGTTACGCTTTATTTTCCTCTTCCTTAAGGATGTGGGATGGGAGGGCGTCTTTGGAGATAGTGATTCATGGAGCAGCATGTTGCCTTATGGAAGCTGGACTGAAATGAGTTGTGGCTGCAAGGAAGTGTCCTGCAACCGCCTTCCTAACCTGTGCTCAGACACTGCAGTATCCTACAGGGATTTCTTCCCCTGGTTGTTGGGATGTATCAGTCAGATGGAAGACTTTGGTTATTTGGGCTGCATCTTATGACTTCGGGCTGAGGTGCTGTGTTTTGATGGATAGAGGACAGGGAAAGGTGGCTTGGATCATGGCTTTTTATTTCCAATGAAGAAAAAAATATCCCTCCCATGCGTAGTGAATTTAGTGTATTGCTTTAGTTCTGTGAAACACTGCTTTGGTGAGCCCTCAGTGAGAATGGCATGACATGAAAGGGAAATACTAACCCTCTTCTCCCTTTATACATGAAACTGTAGCACAGGTCAAACGGGCACTACTTGTGTGCATGTGAAGTATATGCAATACAATGCAGGCAGTACAGGAACCACAGTGAGGGTTCCTGTGAAATCAATGATTTTATTCTCTTATCAGACAGTTTCTCATGCCTGTGGCTTGGTAAGGTCTGTGGCATTTGTGTGGTCAAGAGCAGAGTCTTGGCTGGGTTGCTCAGTGCCCAAAGCTACAGAATATGCAGACAAATAAGACCTTTTCTCACTGCAGCTCAGGGCTCTCCATTCCTCACTATTAATAGTATTTTTTACTCCACTAGCCTAGAGATGAGTCAAGGCATATACAGGAATTGCTCTCAGGCTGGAGCAGGAGGCTCTGTCTCTTCATTCTGGTAGATGAGCAGCATATGAAACAACTTCAGTGAGGAGGGGAAGGAGCAGCCAGCTGAATCCCAAATGGCAATTTTGAGTTTCCTGGAAAAGAAGAGATTTCAGCAAAGTTGTTTGCATGAGACACACTCTGTGTCAGCCTGATGGGAAGTGGAAAACATCAACAATTAGAAGCTCTCAAATACATCCTCTCCCTTTCCCTGCTGGACCTTCTTAACAGCTTCTGAAGCCACTTAAAAAATCAAATATATCCCAGTTTAACTCTCTATATTCTAATGAGTTAAAATAATCCAACAAGATTGTGTGTTTTAGCATAGATGTTCTTTCCTTAATTTTTAAGATATAACAGAAAATTACTCTAAATGTACTGTATTGGCCAGAAAATGAATGCCACAAGGGAAGTTTGTTCAGGCCCAGGTAGAAAGCTCACATCTGAGAGTGGTCCTTTCTCCCATTGCATCTTAAAATCAGCCATCAATGCCTTGGAAGTGACTGATAACCAGCAGCAGAGGCTCTGTTGTTCCTGTGCTGTTGTAGACTACTGCTTTATTGCTACCATAACTGCTCTGTCTGCCTATGGAATACCATTTCCTTAATGCTTTTTAAACACTGGATCATTTAAAATCAATACCTCAACTTTTCAGTGTCACCCCCAGCTTCATGAAACAGCTAGTCAATACTAAAAGATTTAGCATGCTGTAAAACGAATGGGCAAGCAAAAAATCCTCACTTTTATAGGTTTCTACTTGGTCTTTTTTACTTTTTATGATCAGTGATGCAGAAAATAAGCTTTTGGGGGTTTTAATTCTTAGTGGTAGTGGTACAGAGAGGTGGGAGAAACTTCCTGCCTGCTGAAGAGTCAGATTGGAGGAATCAAGTCCCTGAAACAAGATTTTCAATCTAAAAACCAAAATGCTCTATAGCTAAATGGTACATACAGGCTTTCAAAGCTTGAAAGTGAATTTAGTGGTTCTGAATTGTCTCACTGCCTCTTTTCACGCACCAGGAGCAGGTTCTGTCCCTCTTCTTTGTTTGATCTGAAAAGTGATACTACCTGTGAGTTTTTGCAAGAATGTGCACGTTTCTTCTCTTGCACAGGAAGCTGTGGGACATCAGCAGAATAGCAACGCCCTGTGGTCTTACCCCTTACCCCTCTCAAAATATCAGAACAATTACTGGCTTTTATTAAGTAAACCCAAATGTAAAAAGTGCTGGGGGTATGAGCAGGTTTTGTCATTCTGGGCATGGATTTTTTTTTCCTTTCATATTTCCTCTAGAAATAACTTAGAACCTTGTGCTTACAGTTTAACGTACACTTAAAATTCATGATCTGTGTTAAAATGGGTTTCCATGAATGAGTGGAAATAACAGGGTTTCTCCAAGCTCCCGAATCTCAGCCGAGAGCATTTGAGTTGTTGTCTTTCGTCTGTCAAAAGAGTTAATGCTCCAAACCCAATGAAAACTTCTTCCAGAATTATTGCTAATAATCTCTGAAAACTTCCCAGAATTCTACCCAGAAAAATTCCCAGAAATCTGCTGGCAGGGATCATGGGCAGACTCAGGGTGTTCTGTAAAAGAGAGCTTTTGCTCTGGTGTATACGCAGCAAAGGGTGATGGTAAAGCATGATGCTTTTTGTATTAGTAAATGTGGTTCTGGACTGAAACAGTGGCTTCAGTCTAGTTTCCAGCAGGAAGTCCTAACCTCACAAACACGGGCACCTGGCAGATGCTCCTATTAGTTTTCCTGATAATCTTGTAGTACAGCAGCACTTGGTTCCTGTACTGTTGATCTTTGCTATGATATGTCTGAGTTGATGTAAATGAATGTTCCTGTCCTTTTCCTGTCCTTTGGGTCCCATAAACCTTGTCTCGATGAGAACAATATTTGTGTTTTCAGAGAAGATACTGGCCTTACAATTGGTTTCTGTTTCTATCTCCTGCTTTTCCTTTCCACCTTTTCTTCAGAGGAATAACTCCATCTTTTCTTTCTCTCTTAAATATAAGACCCACTGGAACCCTGGCAACTTAACCTTGTATTGATTTTTAAACAGAATTTCCTGTTAAATTCCACAAGGAAATCCTGTTAACAAACAAAGAGCTAATTATCCAGGAAGAGCAGCCCAGTCTCTCAGTATCTGTAGCTGCTCGTGTAAACCACCGTGGTGCCTGAAAGCTATAATTCTCAGTTGTGCAAGATAACAGTTCAGATTACAAACGGCAAAACGTGACCTGTTTCTGTGTTTTGTTGTTTAATCAGTTGTGGGGTTTTTATGTTTTTGACAGACTGCAATGCAATTGTTCACAAAGGCTGTAAGGAGAGTGTTGCTTCTTGTGCAAAAGTCAAAATGAAGGTAAGAGATTTCGTCTACTTTACTGAATAAACCAAAAGGTTTAAATGATTTATCATGCAGATGTATAACATCTTCTACCGTACGTCCCAAACTTTCCAGCTTGTTGGAAAGAACTTCAGCCCCTTTGCTATAGTGAGTAACATCCCTGGGCAATTCCCCAGAACCACATGTTAATACAGTGTTGTCCCTGACACTGTGTGAATGCTGCAGGTGAGTGCCATGGAGTGTTTGTTGGCAGCAGATTCACAGTGTACACAGGGACCTTATGGTGAGATGGTCTGTCCTATGCTTCAATTAAAAAATAACCGAAAAATAACCAGAACCAAACCAACAAAACACTTCACTGGCAAAATTCAGGGGTGTCCAGCACCCTTAAATGCTGTATCTCTTAATTCTCAAATACTGAATCCTGTAATGCCACATTAACCTGTTAAATATATATAGTGTTTTTATGAGGAATGTGCAGAATCTGTGCTCTTCTGCAGATGGTTCTCCAAGCTAGTTAATGTTTATACAGTTAGGATTTTAGTTCTTTTCAGTATCACGAGCACTTTGTCTTCTCGTTTGCTGCACATTTCTCCATCTTAATTTGTCCATTTCATTGATGACAACCAGAGGGAGGCTGCATGTGTGTGTGATTGCATACAGGTAAATATATAGATACACTACATACACATACAGCCAAGAACTGGTCTGTTCTGAGGGGATCCAGAAAAAACCATAGCTTTTTTATTGTAGTTATGTGACAGCCTGATGGGAGAAGGGAAGAAGAAATTACAGTGATTTTCATTTTTCTTTCAGCCACAGAGAGGGATGCTGCAGGCACATGATACCTCTTCGTTACCCACAGTAACCATGAGAAACAAAAGTAAGAAAACTTCCTTTCCCTCTGCTTTGGTGATAGTCTATATCTGCTGTTCTTAGCTGTTCTGACAACTAATATTCAATGCTACAATGGATAAGCATTTATTGAAGTAGGGATGAGAGCATCTTCTGTGCGTGATAAGCAATGTTTGGGGTTCCAGAATTTGTACTGAAGCTGTATGGAGTTCATCCACTTCTGCAGTGTCCATGTAGCTTTAAGCAAATTTAAAGTCATCTCAGATCTAGAACAACTACTTGACTGAAAGCCTACAAGTGATAAGTCCACAGAATCTGGAAGATGAAGCCTATGTCCATGGTGTTTGACATTGGAAAGAATTAAACTCAGAGTGTTATATTAACAGAAATTGTTAAGATTACAAGGGGAGAAGATGCTTGTTCAAAATACTTTTTGTTTGGTTTGTTTGGTTTTATGCTTTGAGATAGTAAAACCAGAAAGTTTGATTTTGAATTGTCAGCAATACTGACAAACTTTTCCTGGCTGCACTGAGATATAAACTGCACTGACCAGTGTGACCGAGGTCAAAGAATAGGAGTGAAACAGCCCAAATGGGTTATGTAGTGCCATGATTTGATAAGCTTATCTAGTGATAGCTTAGAGATCACTATATGGAACCACACTGTATGATACACATGTACCCACTGTGGTACTTACCATGAAATTCTCCGGAAAGCAGAAATGCATCTGAAGAAGGGAAAATCTGGAATTAATATGAAAAGATTAATTGAAGGTGTGTGATAGTATAATGAGATAAGGATTAGCATTTCTCTGTGGTACGTACTGATAGAGAAACCTATCTCAAAAGTTTGACCAGAAGCAGGAAGACGTACATAATTATAGGCCCAGGGAAATTAAAAAGCAACATAGTAGATTGCTACATGTGATTATTTATCAAGTAAAATTAAGTTCAATTTCCCAAGTCTGTGTTCCTGGACTTGCAGATCCCACCTAGATCTTTATAAGTGTAGTGCAATGCAGTCAGCTCTGCACAGGGGGTCGATGTTCTTTCCTTCTATGTGGCTGCTCCAAACAGCTGAGATCTTCTGGTGATGGGTCTAGAAAGAAAAGGAAGTGGATTGAAGAGCCTGATCTCTTTAAGTCATCATCCTCCCAGTTAACGGTGCAGTTACGTGAGCTGACTTTTCTCTGATGCTTCCCTTCCAGGCTCACAACCGAAGGAGCGCCCTCGCTCTGCAATACTTGCTCCTGATGAAAACACCGTAACCTCAATATTCAATAACAGGAGATCACAACAGCCTACAGCACTGTCCAAAAGTGTCTCAATACAGAACATTGCAGGGTAAGGCTGCTCCCTGCGTGCATGAGTGTGTGTGTATTATCAGATGCTGCAAGCATAGAGAAATTCAGATCTCATTACAGATAAGTTTGTGCACTATGATTTATGTTAAAGGTACAAAAAGAGCATCACAAAACCAGAAATACCTGTATTATATATGATACCATCAGTTGTCTTCTACACAATCAGATTTTCTGGGTTAGTTTTAGTGATGGCATGACTTCAGAGGCCTGTTAGTTGGCCTGTTAATATTCAAGGCCACTTCATAGAGATGCTCTGGGCTCCAGGAGAGAACTCCATTGCCTTGGGCTGGATACTGAGCAAGCACACATTTACAGCTCAGGTATGATATTAGCTTTCATGCTCATAACCATCAGGTGGACGCACAGAGCTGCAGTCTTCATGGTGTTTCAGGACTGCATTGTATATAACCATGCAATGCTTGCTTTGGTTTTCCACTCGTATTTAAAATGCGTTTCTTCTGTGTATTTCAGAGTACATTCGGCTGTGTTTTTATTGTCGTAAACAATATCCTGTGCTCTGTCTTTCTGCAGAGTTGGGAACGATGACAGTTTAATACACACTTGGAAATTCCTGTCTCAGTCAACAGACTCCCTACATAAGATCAGTCGGGTGAATGAATCTGTGGAATCGTTGGTTGATGAAGGTAAGAGCTCCCTATGGCATTTATAGTAAAAGGTAGGTCTAATGCTTCTTGCCAGAAATAGAAAATCCATTTTGGCATTTCAGCAAGTGTTTTCCTTTCTAATGGACAATTTAATGCATTTACTTTAATGTTGGAATATAGTAATACATAGTAATTTCTTTAGCTTCTTGAATTGTGAGAAAACATGTAGAAGGTTTCAGTTACAGTTGAGTTACATGGAATTTAGCTCAGGGACTAGCATTTCCTCTTCTGTTCCGCAACTCTGGCCCATTCATACAGCCACAGAATGCACTCTGTCACCTTCTTCATGCTGATGATGATGCCTTCTGTTTCATATTTTTCCCTGAATGGGGAAGGAAGTGTTTAGTTTTGTGGGTTTGAAAGTGGAGTCAGTTAAATGAATTTCTTAAGTTTCAATGTCTTTTATATATAGTGCTTTTTTAAGGTATATTTAGCATTTTTACATCTTAGCCAATATTTACTTGAAAAGAGCGGAACGGTCTTAATTTATTAAGGACATGGTCATGGTGACAAGAGAACATTTCGAGTTCCTGCACAAATGAGCACTCCTTAAAAATAGACTCGGGATAGTCTGGGTTGGAAGGGACCTTCAAACCTCATGTAGTCCAACCCACCTGCAATGAGCCGGGACATCTTCAACTGTATCAGGTTGCTCAGAGCCACATCCAGCCTGGCCTTGAATATCTCCAGGGATGGCTACATGTGTGTATGTAATGTATGTAGTGTGCACTTGCAGCTGCATGAATTCTGGCTTTCTAAGCTTGAAAACACAGACTTCACATAGGCCCAAGTTCCCTCGATTCAGTGATGTAAATGAAGGAAGACAAACTGGGTATTGTGGGTTTTATTCATCTGTGATGTTGTCGCTTTGCAGATAAAGAATCCATTGTCTCTTTAGCTGAGCTAGAATTTGGTCTGTGTGAAGATGGTGAACCAGTTCTGTGCAAATAGCATTTAAAAGCGCTTTTTATAACCTATTCCTTATGTGGTATAATTCCATATGATCATTATAGTGTCAGTAAAGGAGAATGTGTGTGATGTCTGTGGTGTGACAGAGAAACTAAATGAACGAAGTTAACCTAAATGAATAGACAAGAATCTCAAGACAAGTTACCCGCTTCCTAATGGCACTTAACATTGCTTTGTGAAGGAGCAGACATGAACGAAGGACAGCTGATGGGAGACCTGGAATTAGATTCTAAGCAGCTGGAGGCAGAGTCCTGGAGCCAAGTAGTGGACAGCAAGTTCCTCCAGCAGCAGAACAAAGACGTTGTCAAACGGCAAGATGTCATTTACGGTGAGATACCCGCATCTTAATTTCTCACTCGGATAGCTTCTTGATACACTCGCAAGCGTGGACTGGGGAAGCTTTAGGTCAGTGAATAGAAACATTGTCTTGGTTTCTTCAGAAGCTGAAGTTTCATTCTTGAAGTTCTTAGAAGTGGAATGTGTTCTGTGAAAGCTTGCTTTCTGCGTTTCATCTATCTGGAAGGCACAGAAGAAAAAAAACAACAGGAATAGCCTTGGCTGGGGTTAAGCCATGACCTCATTTGTCTGCCGATAACATTTAAACTCCATTACAGCAGAGCAACTTCCTAGGAAGTCTTTGCCTGCTGGATGAAGAGCCATCCTGTACAGCAAAAGCACACTATGTTGAAGCTGGCAGTGAGGTGTTAGGAAGGAGCAGATAACAGTGCTGAAGGTTCAGACCTCAGCAACAATGTCCAAAGCTCTTTACTGTGCAATTCCCCTGCTCCCCTGTTTCCCCCCCCACATTAAACTGTTGTTTGATGTTTCAATACCTGACATGAAATTTGATGAAGCCGCTTAGAGAATCCCAGTTATGGAAGAGTTTTCTAATGGCAGCTTTTGTTTGTACTCCACTATGTACCCTACAGTGACCATGGTTTTGCTCTTGTCCTCATTCTGTACAGAGCTAATGCAGACAGAAATGCATCATGTCCGCACATTGAAGATCATGAATGATGTATACAGCGCAGGGATGTTAAAGGAATTGCAGTATGATCAGCAAGTTGTGGACAAGATCTTTCCCTGCCTGGAAAACTTGCTGCACATCCACAGTCACTTCTTCCAGCGGATTCTGGAAAGGAAGAAGGAGTCGCTGGCAGACAAAAGTGAAAAGAACTTTGTTATCAAGAGGATAGGTGACATCCTGGTGAATCAAGTAAGCGCTGCAAAATGCTTGCACTTCTGAGAGCACAGCTGGAAACCAGGCACTCTTCCTCCCTCCTATGTCTGTCAGATAATTACAGCTGATGGCACCCTTGCTTTTCACACATGTAAAAAGTTCTGCCTGTGCTGTTTGAAGCACTCTCTGCTCTTTCAGGGAAAGGTCTAATGATGAAATTTAATTCAGTTTATTTTGCAGGGAAGAGCAGCACAGAATGGCTTGACCATGGCCTGAGGGGTTGGCAGCAGCCGACAGCAAAATAAGCCCCATGTGTTTCTTGGCTGTGCTACTGACCTGCTATATAACTTTGGGCAGGTCATTTTCCTTTATCTGCACTTTCTCCTTCTTTTTGCCTGTCTTGATTTTTCTGTTAGCTTTTAAGCCCTGTGAGTAGAATCATAGACTCATAGAATGGTTTGGGTTGGAAAGGGAACTTAAAGGCCGTTTAGTTCCAACCCTCTGCCACAGGCAGGGGTGCCTTCCACTAGACCAGGTTGCTCAAGGCTCTATCCAGCCTGGCCTTGAACATTTCAAGGGATGAGGCAGTCACAACTTCTCTGGACAACTTGGTCCAGTTTCTCACCACTGAATTTCTTCCCAATAGCTAATCTAAATCTACCCAAATCTTGCGCTGTGAGCTCAGTGAAGTCCCAGACTCAGCTCTTTACTTTCTAGACATCTGCTTGCTTGGTTTAGGATGCCTTGGACTAATTTGGTTTCATCAAGTTCTTTTGAGAGCCTGGCAGGCACTGCTGGGTTGTCACAGCAGGAGCTTTGTGCGAACTGGACCTCTCTGTATCATGTCTTGCAGTTCTCTGGTGAGAGTGCTGAGCGAATGAAGAAAACATATGGCAAATTCTGTGGGCATCACAATGAGGCAGTAAATAACTTCAAAGATCTGTACTCAAAGGACAAGCGGTTTCAGGCATTTATCAAGGTAGGACCTGGTAGAACAGACATAGTTGATGGAAAAAGCATGTCCTCTCTGCGCTCTGGTGAGTGTTTTGCTACAGCACTGAAATCTTCCTCTTTGTTCCCTAGAAAAAAATGAACAGCTCCCTGATGAGGCGTCTTGGGATCTCTGAATGCATCCTGTTGGTGACACAGAGAATCACAAAGTACCCAGTCCTTCTGCAGAGGATACTGCAGTACACCAAAGGTAGGGACCACTTCCTACGTTCTAAGCATATATTTGTTCCTCCAGTGTAAATCTCGTGGATCCTTTTCAACTGAAGCAGATTTTCATGGAATAGACTGACTAATCTGGTCATTACTGTCTCACACGGCTGTAAGATGGTAACTCAATTTTGTATCTCCATTTAAGATGAGTTATTTGGGTGCCTTGATTTAGTTGTTACAAGTCCATCTAGCTAATTATGGAGCAACATGCTTAGACTCCAGAGTCTTTCAGCTTACTTGTTTGGTAATGGCTAAAATGTGTGGTTAATCTGTGCATTTCACCCGTAGCATCTCATATAGAAAGTATACTGGAATAGTCCCCAGCCCTGTATGCGAAAGGTTTTATGGAACTCTCCTTAAGAGGGAAGAATTAGCCTGTCTCATGAAAGTATTAAAAAGTGATAATGTGGGAATTTGGGATAGAGGGGAGGAAGAAAGTAAAATCGGGGAGTTAGGAGTCCACAAGGATGAAGTGAAATTGAGGTATTTCTTCTTCTGTTCAAAGAAAATGAAGTGGAACATGAAGACTTGACTCAGTCGTTAAACCTTGTTAAAGATGTGATTGCTGCAGTCAACAGCAAAGTCAGCAATTACGAAAAGAAGATGCGTCTTGGTGAGATTTACAACCGGACGGATAGCAAGTCCATCATGAGGATGAAGAGCGGCCAGATGTTTGCAAGAGAGGACTTGAGGCATCGGAAGCTCATCCGAGATGGGCCTGTTTCACTAAAAAATGCAGCTGGTCGGTTAAAAGGTAAGACTAACCTGCCTTCTGCTCACCCTCTATGGATGTAGGATTAGTGCTCCGATTGGTGTCTCTAGCCTTTATTCTCCTGCTTTGAGAGATTTTGACAGCAGCTTTTCCTGTGCTGTACACTCACTTCCGATCACAACATTTCTGATTCCTCATGTTGTTCCTGGGATGATTGATAGCTGCTTTTCCTCCTGGTGACTGCATGCTTGCTGAAGGCTTAGGTTGCAGTTACACCTTGGTGCACCAGCTAAGGAGTGGAGTTGCTGGGGGGCACCCTTTGGGCCAGGAGAACGTGCTGGGGCTGCAGTTACCCCGAGCAGTGAGTCAGATCTCCATGCAGCGATGCGCATGTGCCGTGAGTGGTTCCAGGAAGTGTTCTTGCTGCATCTGAAACCCAGCCTCAGCTTCCCGGTGGCCCTGCCCACTAGCAGCACAGTGTTTTCTTTGCTCTAAGGTCTGCAGTAGGGCTGCTCAGGCTCAGCATCACCATCCCAGTTTCACTGGAAGTCCAGAGAGGTGTCCCAGGCATCTGTTGCTCTCAAACCTCTCGAGTTGCTGATGCAAACTGTAGGGGAGAGGTGTCCCTGCAGCTGCCTGTTGTTAGGTCAGTGTTTTCTTGAATTACTTTCTGTTTGCTATCAGGTGGAAATAGTTTTTCTCAGGTGCTGTGCTCTGCTGAGCACTGCAGTTCTCCACTGAATTAAACACTAAATCTCCCAGGGAAGCCTTCAGCAGGGACCACAGTAGCAGTAAGGGCAGACAGGGCTGTGTCTCAGGCTTGGTAGGAATAGCAATAAGGGCAGACAGGGCTGTGTCTTAGGCTTGGTAGGGAGGCTGGGCTTCTTTCATTCCAGCTGATTAAACTACAGCACTTGTGTATGAATGGGAACTGGTAGCCTGGTGCTGTGCTGAGCAGGGAGGCAGCGATAACACAAAATTCCACATTGGGTATGATTTTCTTTGAGGTTATGGAAACGTGAAGTTTACGGATGGTTTCTAGGCACCTGAGAGTATTACTGACTTTAGGTGGTGGATGAAGCAATTTTGCTGCTGTTGTGAAATCTTGTGAGAAGTACAGGCTCCATTTGCATTTCTTAAGTCATAGAAATGCATAAACATACATCTGTCTGCAGTGCAAGTTCCCAGTGAACGCAGGTCCTCCAGACAAGCTGCAGAGCCCAGGGAGAGAGCAGCTACTTCATGTGTTCAGGCTATTTTGCAGGATTTGAAATGGAGCACAGAAAAGTATAGGAAGGACTTATCTTAGAGGGTTTTAGCATTTCCCCTCTTGCAAAGTGCACAGACAGTAGAGAAGAACAGTGAAACGTTAACTTTTGCAAACATCCCAGAGCTTTGAGTTCATTCTGCAGCTTTGATTGAAGTTTGGTGTTTCTTTTGTTTGGAACGGATCCTGTCTTCCCAATACAAAATGGAAGGAATTACCCACGGGGTGATTTAACTTTCTGGTTTGCTTCCTCTCTGTCACAAGATTTCCAAAGTACATTACACAAAACCTCTTTGTACAGAGGGCTCTGGGTGGGGCATTAGAGAATAGAATCATAGAACCGTTTAGGTTGGAAAAGACTTTTAAGATTGTCAAGTCCAACTGTTAACCTGCCACTGCCGAGTCCACCACTAAACCATGTACCACATCTACATGTCTTTTAAGTACCTCCAGAGATGGTGACTTCACTACTGCCACGAGCAACCAGTTTCTCCAGGAGAATACTGTGAGAAATGGTATCAAAGTCTTTACTGAACTGGAGGCAGACCACATCCACAGCCTTTCTCTCATCTACTGAGTGGGTCTCCTTGTCATCGTAAGAGATCACATTGGTCATGCAGGACCTGCCTTTCAATAAACCCATGCTGACTATGCCTGATCACCTTGTTGTCTTTTACATGCCATGTGATGGCACTCAAGGTGATCTATAACCTTCCCTGGCACTGAGGAGGTTACTGACAGACCTGTAGCTCCCTGGATCCTCCTTCTGGCCCATCTTGTAGATAGGGGTCCCAGTTGCTCACTTCAAGTCAACTGGGACCTCCCTGGTTAGCCAGAACTGATGATGTATGATGGAAAGTGGCTTGGTGAGCACTTGGTGGCTCCCTCAGTACCCTTGGGCTTGTGTGTATCTAAGTGGTGTAGTCTGTCACCGACCTTTCCCCTTTGGATTTTGGGGGCTTCATTCTGCTAATGAATATACTTGGCAGTTGCTGTGTAACTTCATGATATGTCATTAAGAGACTTGGAAGGCTGTACATGTACTTTGGGAAAAGGCTGTATTCTCATTCAAAATCCTCATTTGGCTTGGTGTTTGCTTCCTTGTCCCATGAAACAAAGCCAGGTCCTGCATCTCATACAGGCTCTGTCAGCTCCCCTTGGAGCCAGCAAGCATTGTGTTTGTCTGTGAGCAGAATTAGTGGTGCCTCCTGAAGTCGGTATATCCTGGGAAAGAAACTGCAGCTGACAAATGTTGTTACTGCATGATAATTTACACTCCACAAACCACTCATCAAGAGAGCCATAAAACCCAAAACTTCCTGTGCAGATATTTTGCTCGAGGGCTAAAATATTGATTGTTTGAGAAAACAGGGCTTCTATTTAGTAAGTGTCTCTGGCTTTTGCTTGTAGGCTTGTGTCCTAGCTGTTAGAAGGCATGTGGCTGGAGAGGAGCACCCCTGCACAGGTTTCCCATGTGCTGTTCTGTTCTGCTTAGGACAAAGTTGGTGCAGAGCTAACCTGGCATCACCAGGAGCTGCCCCTGCTAATCCTTCTAAGGGAGACTGACCCTGCTTCCAGGATTTGCCTTACCCCTCCCAAGCACTGGTGTTACTGAAAGAAATCTGCTTTGGGGTGGGTTGTGTGGTTATACTGCACTGGTGTGCTCTTTCTTTTGCAGAAGTCCAGGCTGTTCTCCTCTCTGACATGCTCGTATTCCTTCAGGAGAAGGACCAGAAGTATGTCTTTGCCTCACTGGTAAGGCTTCAACCTTTAGTCCTCCTTCCTTTTCTCTGTTAGAGACCCTTGATGTGTGTTGTGCAGTGAACAAGCCGTTGCCTGTTAAACAACTTAATTTTCTTGCTTATGACAATTTCTTTTGCTGAACAGACTCCAGTCTTTTTAATAGCAAAACACGTCTTCATGCCCTACCCTCCCCTTTCTGCAGTGCTGTGGCACAGCTGATAATTGGCCTTGAAAACCTGCCTGTCACTTGATACACTCACTTCTTTTCAGTTTGTGCAAATTAGAGCAGTGATTGGGGTAGGAGGGAGCGATGGGATAATACAAACATTGTAAAAATTAATCTTAGCAGAAGGAATATATTGTGAGCTGCTACGGGGGTGGGGTGGTGAGGTGCCACTGTAGTAAATTCAACAGAACAGCTTGGAAATAAATGTCAAAGTAATAGATTTGTAATGCATAAGACCAAAACCATTAGCTTTGGAAGACAGGCCTCATCAAAGGGCTAGGCACGCTGACCTGCTAAAGAAAACCTAGTACCTAATTGACTCTGTTGGGGCTGTACCTTGCAGGCATGGTCTAGACTGGCTAAGCCTGGTGACCTTTCCACTCCGTGAACATTTTGAAAGCTGATGATTTGTTATTCCAGTTCCACCAATGATCTGCACAGACTCAGTGCCCTGCACGGGGGGAGCTGATTTACACGCAAGTCTCGCTAGTCAACAGCTACCAAATCACCCCAGTCATAGCATCCTGTAAAAGGCACAAAGGAGCTGACTCATCTGCAGATGACACAACAGCAAAAGGTCATTTCAGCCGAGCAGGCTGGTTATACAGACCAGAGCACACAATGGACGTCATCTTACACACAAGTCTTCTCCATCACGAGTCAGCTCTGAGCTTCTGAGAACAGCAGGGGTTTTGTGGGATTTGGAACCAAGATGTTACTCCATCCTAGGGAGAGATCGTGAAGATAATGTGTGTGAAGCAGGCGCTAGCAAGCTGTGTTAAGTCTGAGGAGCTCTGATATTAATGAGAGAGAGAGTGTGGGCAGGAGATGAGATCAGAGGTCTGCTGGAGCTAGAACAAAACATGGTAGAGTTTGCAAAACCACAAGGTCAAATTTAAATTAATTCCTTGTTGAAATGGAACAAGGTGAAATTGCTTTTCCTACAAAACTACTGGAGGAAAGCAAACCCTTCCCTGTTCTTTGGATCCCATTAAAATGATATATATGTTTAATTAGCTAATGGGTTCAGAAAATGTTTGCAACCTGAGAGAGGTAGTGGTATGGTTATAGGTTATTCTCAATGGTAGTTTGCATGTAGGAACTCGTACCGTTCACCCTCCTCACTTGTTTGTTTCTATCTGAAGGACCAGAAATCCACTGTGATATCTCTGAAGAAATTGATCGTGCGAGAAGTGGCTCACGAAGAGAAGGGCTTGTTCCTCATCAGCATGGGTGTGAAAGATCCCGAGATGGTGGAAGTCCATGCCAGCTCTAAAGAAGAGCGTAACGGCTGGATACAGATCATTCAAGACACAATGAACACCATGTAAGCTATGAAACTGTTTTTGCAAGGCAGGTGGTGCACATGGTCCTGTCCAGGTAGTAATTGTGTCATGTCTGTTGTCCAGGGATAAAGATGAAGATGAAGGAGTCCCTTGTGAGTCTGACTTTGAAAAGAAGGTGTCGGATGCAAAAGTGAGAGGACTGAAAGGTAAAATCCTGCCGGGGACAGAGCTGGAGAGTGGTTTTGAAGCATTTACAGGAATTGTTGTGTTGGAATTTGTGGTTGAACTATGGCTTTTTCCAAATGAGGGAGAATCCTGCATCCAGCAAATAGAAACTCTTGCTCGTACCTTACCTTGCTTGCGTTACTTCTGCACCTGGAGGGTGCCATTGCTGTGCAGGATTGCCCACGGCATGGTTGTATGGTTCATCAGGTTCCACTAGATGGGGCCAGTATCTCGGGAATCACTCAGTTTTCTTGCCACAGCTTTTATTTTCTGTCTTCATCTCTGTTTTCTGTTCACCCCCACAGAACAACTTCAGCAGAAGGATAAGCAGATCCTCCTCTTGCTGGAGGAGAAGGCTAAGATCTTCCGGGACATGGCAGACAGTTCTGTGCAGGAGGACATGCCAGGCTCCAGGCTGCTCTTCAGAGCCAACACAGAAGAGGCACCAAAAGGAGAGGCCATCATGAAAACTGCATTAAATGAAGGTGAGCAAGTGAGGTTGACACGTTAATTACACTAACCAATGGACCCACCTTCAGTGAAGCCATCAGTCCTCAACCACCAGTTTTGCAGGGCAGATCTTCTCTTTATCGGAACAAAAGCATAGATAAGGAGATATTGCTACTCACAGTATTGTCTCAGGGACAAGTAATGAGGAATCAGGAAAGGAAGCAGATATTGGCGGCTGCTGAAAGAGGGCAGAAAAGAAATCAGCACAGAGAACAACCATGCATTGAATCTGCAGTGGGGTCAGGACTTATCCTTGGCTGAAATTGGGACCAGTCAGCCTTTTGCTATGCTTCAGGCTTAGCAAGGCGTGAGAGCAGGGTTTGGGTTTCAGCTCTCACACGTTGATGAGATACAGATACCACTGTGCTTGTGGTATCTGCAAGTAACAGGTAAGCCTTTTGACAAAGGTGTAGGGGTGGGTGGAAACTCGGGCAACTTTCTGGTCTGTTTTTTGTAGAGGCTAAAAATTATGTCGTCAGAGCACTCCAGTGTTGCCTGAGGGAAGAGAGGGAGGTGTAAGCCTGTGATGAGGTCTGTATTGGAGTTAATGATGAGACAGACTGAGTTTTTGCAGGAGGAATGCAGACTATTCATAACATTGTCATAGAAACTTGGTTTCTTAGTACAGCAGAGCATGTGGATTTCTAATCTGAGCTCAGGCAGGGATGAAAATAGCTCAGAGTCCAAGGTGGTCTTTAACAGAGATATTGTTGCTTTTTATCAGTTGAACTGCTGCAAGACCTGGTGAACAGGAGCCTGGGCACTGCCCTCGGACAGCAGGTCAGCAGCACTGCCATGGAACAAGAAGGAGGAGTTGGCCCTATCTCTCTCCCTAGAAGGGCAGAAACATTTGGAGGATTTGACAGTCATCAGATGAATGCCTCCAAGTGTGAGTAGTTACATATGTGCACATCAGCGTTTGTTAATAATACATGTCATCATGTCCTCTTGCTTCAGAAGGGCTCCAGCAGCTGGTGATTTGGGTTTCCAAACTCCTCTGCAGTAATAGTTGATAGATTAAATAACAGATTAAAACCAAAAACTGCCTGTGTACAGGTGGAATGATGGTAGCTGAGAACCTGTGGCTACATGAGGATTAAACATCTGAACTCCTCACTCCTCTGTTTCCATGCTCTCTCTAAATCGTCCTTACTCCTTTACTTACATTCCACATAAAAGCATTTGTCTTCTTAACAGATTCGTTTTATCATGTTGTTATTGTAGTGTCTGCAGCTCTGTTCTTCTTCAGTTAATTTCCAGCAGGAGCCTGGTGCTGTTGTGTTTGTGAATGGATGAGGATACTGCTGAAACAAGCACCTTCTCCCCTGGCTCTGCTCTCTGTGCATTAGTGTTTCACATACAACTGCATGTGTTATTCCTGCAATTAAGTCTCTCCCAAAGAAACATGTGAATATTTATTTCAGCTGCACAATTGGCTGCTTCCCAATGCTTGCTTTCTTTGCCCCACTCACTAGAAACTTCCCTGTCCTCAAATTCCTTTCTCTGTGGTCTCTCTCATACTCCCCGTACAGCCAGTTTTGCTGCGCTAGTGTCTATCTCAGCACTGGGATTGTTGGACCTCGTCTGACCTTCTGCATTAAAGGAGCAGTGTTAGCTCCAGACAGTCAGACATGAGAAGTATGTAGAGGTTTTCCCAGCTCTCTTGGAAAGCTGCAAAGCCCTCACAGGCCTTGTCATCATAATGACAAATAGATTCACGCTGGAGGGAGTTGTTTAGGGTTGTGCTTCCCTGTGTTGCAGTGATGAATGGGACAACCTCAGGCTGTCCAGCTCTAGCTTTTCTGTAGAAATGTCCTCTTTTGAATTAGATTGTAATTCAGTAGTTGTAGGGTCCTGGGAGAATTTGGGGAAAATATGCAGGGTCTGTTTGTTCAGCTGGAGGCCAGGAGGCATGAAACCTGGCTTTCATCTCAGTTCTGTTCGCAACCTATGCAACCTTGGGCAAGGCTTATAACCTGACTCCCCTTCGTTCTCCCCTCCAGCAAAGCAGAAGGGAGGTGTTTCCTCCTGCAGAGAGGTGGAAGGTCCCAGGACGTGGCGCAGGAGAGAAGGTCTGTTAGGAGGACTTGAGGGTCAGCCTTTAATAGCAAAGCCTGCCTGGGGGGTGGTGGGAGGAGAGGGCCTTTGCACTAGATACGGTGTCCTTCACATTGCTGCAGATACAGGTGTATGTAAAGTTGTTTATCATTAAAAGAGTGGCAGTTGGGAGGTTGCCACTGCAGGTGTGGGGTTTCCCCATCTCAGCTGGAAAGGGAAGTGCAAGTCTGGGGAAGAGTTTGAGGACCAAAGAGCCGTGTGACTCCTTCACTGCCCATGAGCAGAAGGGCAATGCGTATGGAGGGCTGCAGCCCTTGTGGCCTCATAGGTCAGTTCAGTCCTGCTCAGAAGCACTGATACCATCCATCCAGGGAAGCTGGAGATACAAATATGCCTTGATAGATACAGGTTGAAGATAACTGAGGTTAAGGATAAATTAGCATAAAGTTACACAAGGGTATTGCAGAGCAGTATCTGACTCAGCTGTAAATTGCACTTGCACGAGAGAGGCATTGAAACTATACCTGCAATAATATACCCTGATACAATCCTGTTGCTGTTCTCCATCTGCTCTTACTCAGCCTCATGTCTTCTCAGCAAGTATTCTTTGGTAGCAGACAGCAGCACGGGGGCTAGACAGAGCACCCATGGGTGAGTGTGCTGAATGTATCAGCACATTGTCTGAAACCAAAGTCAATCCTTATCTGAATTCACATCCACTACTTCTGGTGGTGCTGACATGTTCTATATACATAGGGAGCAAATGCATTTAGTTAGAAGTGTTAAAAGCTCTATGTCCCCTTTCGTGAAGCATCTGAGTTTCCTGTATTAAATTTCTCTGACATTAGCAAGTTCATATGGCTTAAAATGTTGAATAACCAGTGGCAATGCTGGCTTCTTCCTTTAGGTGGAGCGAAAGACGAAGGCGAGGATGCTCAGGACCTTCGGAGAACAGAGTCGGACAGCATTTTAAAGAAGGTATCAATCACTTGGTTTATGTGTCTGCTGCCACTGAGTGCAGATTTGAAGACAGTCACAGTTCCAGTCTTGAAATAAAGCCTAATTTCTTGACAATGAGATGTATCCTAATAAGTTAAAATAAAACGAAATTGGAAGTATGCAGCCAAAACCACTTGGCTGTAGCTAAAATCCTGACTTGAAGATCATTGCAAATCAGTTGTATTCCATTGTGGTACAGGTCATCTGCCATCTGTCTGCAGATCAGCTGAAGCATGTGTTTAATTATGCATCGTTATTGAAATGCTAAGGTCAACTATAACCTTGCACCTATTCTTGCTGTGGATTGATGCATCATGTAACTACAAAATGATCCCTAATCAACATTTTGTTTGATATGATTTTAACTTGCCTAAAAAACATGCAATGAATTCTCCCTGAATGGAAGATGGGGGCAAGGGGTTTAGTGGGTCTGTTATTAGTTCAGCTTCAGAACACATTTGCTGTGATTTCTCATTGACCTTGTATTAAATCTGTGATCTTTTTGTAGGGAGGAAATGCTAATTTGATGTTCATGTTGAAAAGGAATAACGAGGTAAGAATTGATTCCGTTGCTCAGCTCTTTCCTTCATTTAAGTGGCAAGTGAATTTGTCTCAATAGGTAATAATGTAGAAGAAAACACATTTCATTTGCGGAAGAGCATGTAGACTTTAAATACATTAAGTTAAATCCACTGTGTCATTTATTTGTTTAACCTTGGATGTTCAGACAGGGAATTCACTGATTGTCATCTGCTTGCCAGCAGGATGATACGTGGTGATTATAGGCAGCAAGGGTTAATTACCACTAGGATGCACAGGGCTGTATTTATTGTGCATCTGCAGACAGAGGGAGTTTAATTTTGTTGCAGGTGCAGTGAATGGGGGCAATTAGATTTCTATTCTCCCTGTGATACACATTCATAACTCCCAATTAGCATTAATGGCACAATGAGAAGCAGTTCTTTTAACGCTGGCTATCACACCACTACTGCAAATACTGCAGTGGGTTTTCTTCTTAAAAGTTATTGCAGGATAGGAGAGATTCAGGGAAATTTTTAGCTAGGGATAGGGCATCACTCTAAAGTAGCTTGCTCTGTGTTGATGCATGATGTGTTCACATTTACCTGTGTTTTCAGAGAGCCACCATGAACACACCTGCTATACTTGTGTGCCTGCTGTATTGCAGTGTTTCTGCTTAATGACAAGGGGGATTGTTTGGGTCAGCCAGGGCTGGGAGAGTACAAATAGTCCATATTCATTGTAAGAGTTCCTTTTTTCACCCCTTGAGGTTCTTTCCCTTAATTTTTTAAGCAAACTGCTGGGTTTCATCCCAATTGCTCTGCTTGTTCTTGAGCAAGCTGACACCGTGGGAAATGGTTTGCAGGGAAAACCCTGTTGTTCCCATGAGGTTTGTGCTGTTCAGTGCTTCTGCAGATGTTTTCTTCCCTGCTGCACTGATGGCTAGGAAAGTGAGGAAGGTGATGTCGGGCACCTCTCAGAGATGTCCAAGGGATGTATTTGTGTAGTGGGGAATGATGCAGTCATTGCAGGTGAACAGTGAGAAAAAGGAAGGCGTAGAGGGGTGGCCATACTTGTCAGGCCCACCAGTGGGTCACAGTAGGAAAGGAGTGGGCTTTATGTGTGCCCTGGCACCCAGCGAGATCTGATAGCAGTGCTTTTGTTTTCTTGCAGCAGGTCCTCCAAACCATTACCAGCCTCCATAAGCTGCTCAGTGCTTTGCAGGTAGGCTTGGCTATTCATCCTGCTTCTGCATGCTCTATGCCCAAACTGCACATCCTGCCACTCATGCTTCACTCCCATCTCCCCTTCCTCTTTGCCTGTCACATCCCTGTGCAGCTGAATGCTCCAAGGCCAGCATGCATGCAGCATGCCAACAGGTCGTAGGAATGAGCTGCTGCCTAAGTGAACCAGTGCTTACCTGATTTTGGGGAACTGCTGGGGGAGATCCTCTGCCAGCATCCTCTGTGGTAGCCCAGCCATAAGGCAGCAGTGCTGAGCTGTGAATTTGGTGGGAGAAGAAGGGGTTCGATACAGCACCCTGAGGTTTCCAGGAATGGGGCCTTTTTCTATGGAGAGGACATTGCAGTGATTTGTGTCCCCTCTCTCCTAGGGTGTTGTGCTGCAGCAGGACACCTACATCGAGGACCAGAAGCTGGCTTTGAGTGAGAGGGCTCTGACCCGAAGCTTCTTCCGGCCGACCTCACTGCTGGAACAGGAGAAGCAGCGCAACTTGGAGAAGCAGCGCCAGGAGCTGGCCAACCTGAAGAAGCAGCAGACGCAGCACCAGGAGGAGAGGCGGAGGAGAGAGAAGGAGTGGGAAGTTCGGGAGAAGGAGCTGGCGGAGCAGGAAGCCCACTTGGCCCAGCGAGAGGAGCAGGTCCAGAGAGGGTGGCAGGACCTTGAGCGGGAGCGAGAGGAGCTGCAGGTGAAGAAGGCCTCCTACCAGCTTGACCTGGAGAGGCTTCGCACGGCACAGAAGCAGCTGGAGAGGGAGAAGGTGCAGTTCAAGCAGGACGTGGAGCGGTTAGCTCAAATGCGGCAGGAGCCAGACCACAACCAGGTAAATGATGCCAGTGGCCAGGCTGCTGGGGAACCATCCATTCCCAGCTGGCTCCTAGGCCAACAGCATGCCAGCAGGGATAGACTGGCGCCAGCCCAGCCCCAGACATTCGGGGCCTGGTATTAAAACTGGTTCTTCCCTTAAATAAGATGTGCAGGGCTGTGTTTCTTGCATCTCCAGAGCTGCCAGTGTTGATGCAGCGCAGTGTACTCGGGATGCCTGGCCGGTCCTGAGCAGTAGGTGCTTACAACAGCCTGAGCTCTACTCACTTTCCTGTGCTGTGTGTTGGTGGGCGGCAGAGCAGAGGTAGCTGGCTTGCACAGAAGATGCTGTAGGCAGTCCAGTGCCTAGAAGGTCGATACTGCCTTTGACACTGGCCTTCACACCGTGGGAGCTGAGCTCTGGGGAGCTGTCAGGCAGATGAGATGTCCTTCGCACAAATAGCCTGAGCGTTGTGGGTTTCCTGCACCCTCCAGCTGTCACAGAAGCCACTTGTGAGGCTTGTAACTGCAGGGGAAGGCTGTCTGCACACTTACATCCACCTCCAGAAGTATTCTTGATATCTAGCAAAGAGATGGGCATTGTCTGTGTCCTACAGAGACTGGGCACATCAGTGAGCAAAGGCTGCTGGCTCTGCTGCAAGAGGCTTCTGGTACCTGGGTACCCACACACAGATCCTGCCTGTGCAGTTTTCAGCAAGCTGGGGTTTATCTTTCTTAGACCTGTGCAGCAGTGTGGCTGAGGAGAGCAAGGATCCACAGGCAAAACACAGGTTGAATTTAATCCTTAAGCCTGTTGTTGATCATTTGTTTGTTTGTAACTCGCTAATTCTGAAAGTAATTTGCTTACAGCTGGAGCAAAATGAGTTTATAAATGTTGGCTTGTGGAATGGAAATTATTTTGGGTGCCTGAATGGATTAATTGCAGAGCTCAGCAGTGAGCTCTGAAAAGCAAATCATCAGAGGAGGGCTTGCTCCCTCCCACCCGGTTCCTGATCAGGCCAGTTGTTTTCTGAGCACACAGTGAAGCTGCTCCAGCATCAAGCACACATAGAGATGCGAGGGGCATGGATGCTGTGGGAGAGGCTGAGAGGTAAAATAGCTGTGAGGGAGGTTAGGAGAAGGAAGTGCCTTTTCGAGGCAGGTATCTCCCTGACGTTTCACAGCTATTAATAGAGGGCTTGGTGAGGCTTTGTTGAGCTGTTGTTTTGATCTTCCCTTTGAATGCTGGGGCTCAATTACATCCTGAGACAGCCGTTGGGGAAAAAAACAGAAGGCAGGAAAACTGTTTTGCTTTCATGTTTTGCTTGGGAAGGCTTCCTTTGACACATGCCGCTCCAGTGCTGTGTGCTGGCGCTCCCCTCGCGGAGAGGCACGCTTCTCCTTGGCCTCCTGCCACCGCCTGTGTGCACGAACGGTGCAGGGTGAGTCTTGGTATTGAGATCTTAAGAGAATGTTTGCCCTTGGCTTGTTGATACATAGCATAGTACATGTAGGAGCAAAAGATAACTGGAGCATTACTCCTTATATGCCTCGTTTCTTTGTCTTAAACTGAGAGGACAGCTTCCCTCGTTGCTTTGCATGGATGGGGACCACTTTTTTGCTGGTGAAATGAGCTGGATGTTCACAAGAATAACCTGTTTCTGAGTGGTCTGGGACACACCTTTCCTATCTAGGTTCTCTGCTAGCCTCTTTCATGCCCTAATAAAACACCTTTTCTTTATAGGTTTCAAATCTACATGAGAAACTTGCAAGAGTCTCCTCCCAGTCCAGCATCGATGAGTCCTCCAAGCAGAAGAGCCCTTCCCTTCCTAAACAAGGGCACTTTGATGCAGAACTGTCTGTTTCCCCTAAAAGGAACAGTCTTTCAAGGACACACAAAGAGAAAAGCACTTTCCATTTGCTTAGCACAACAAACCAGACTAACAAGGCAGCTGAGGAACAGCCCCAGATGCCTACTCGCCTCTTCAGTTTAGCCAAACCAAAGGACAAGAAGGAAAAGAAGAAAAAGGGCCGGGGACATCGCTCCCAACAGTCTGGTGAGTGTCAGGGCAGGTCAGAGGTGTGTTTTGAGGGTTGGTGAGCTGGCATTTTGCTCCAGTCGTTGAACTTGTGGAAGCCATGGAACCTTGAATGCAGATGATAACACAGGCATGGAAGATCATCAGCTGTGATGAGTGGAGTTCCCCACTTGAAGTGGTCTTATGTGGGCTTTCTTCCGTTCTGCAGCCCCTGGGGTTGTCAGAGGGATACACTCTGCTCCCTGCTGCTTCCCTGTCCCATCCGAGCAGCCTCCATGGGCTGAATTCTCCCTTTATCTTTCAGCTTCCTCTGCTCTATGGAGGAAAATGCCCTGCTTCGGTGTATGTGCTTTCAAGAGCTGCTGCTAGGATGCTCCTGGCTCTTGCACCTACTGAGGGTGCTGTCTGCTGTAACTCTGTTGTAGTTTGGAAGTGATACCTGCAACCCTTCTGGTGGCCTCTCCCTTCCCCTCAAGCCAGTCTAGCTTGTCTCTTGATCTGAAGAGACAGAGATGGTAGTTTTGCATCCCCTTAGGATTTAGTTCTGCACCTCAAACCTCTGACCCCCATGAAATAGAATCTCAGGCCCTCAGATGACCAGCTTTATAGTAACTCGCTGTTTTCCAGCTTGTGCACAGGGAAGCTCACCAGTTATGAGATGTAGTTTCATGGTAGCTCATCAGGGAACTGGACATCTTTTAAGGTGCTCAGTGGATTTGGTAGCCAGTGGGGTTTACATGCATGTGGAGTCCTGCTGTATTCCTATAGTGATTCCCACTTGTTCTTTTGTGCTGCAGATTCTCACTCATCAGAAGCACCTCCAGAGGGTGAGGAGATCTTCTGCTGAGCACAGACAGTTCCATCGGTCACTCTCAGCATTGGTACATCTCCCTGCCTGCTCCACAGCACGCTGCTGGTGCCTGCATCTGACAAGCATCTGGAGGTTTTATATATAACACGTTACAAGTCTGTTCAGTGGTGGGAAGGGGCCTCTCTCCTGTGGTTCTGGGTGAATTCTCACCTCAGAGGCTGACTGCATGGCAAATAGTACTGTCTCTCTGTGCAAACCTTGGGTTAAATGGATTGGGGTAGATGTTTTCTGTCTCTTCTTACTGCTAAAGGGTGAGAGAACATAGCCTTAAGGGGTCTGTGCCTTCAAATTCCCCTTTTCCGGGGAACATAACAAAAACCAAGCATTTAGCAAAAGATTAGGACTCTACAAAGGGTGCGTACACACTGGCATATATAGATATACTGTATATATACATATATGTATCTATGTATCCACTGGGATATGCTTACAGTCTGTACAGCCGAGCTTAGCTTGGCCCATGGGGATAGATGATGCCTGATGACTTTCAGGAAGCGTGTAGATATTAAATATCTTGCCCTTACTGCTCCTGTTGTAACGCCATTGACTTGCACGCCCCTTTTTGTGCTGGTGGTATAGGGACTGTTTGGTTTGAGAAAGGTACTTTACACCAGGAAGCAGTAACAGCATTCAGAACACAAATTCAGAGGGAAAAACTAAAAGTTCAAGCAATTCCAAAAGATTTCCATGGAGCAGAGGGATTTAAATGTCAAACTGTTTCCAGATTCAAGCAGAATGGCTTTGGGTATGTTTAAAACAATGCAGAAAAGAGCAATTTGGTAGGCTTGTAAGGCAACCCCAGGGAGCCAGAGCAGACAGTGCTCAAGTGGGAACAACTCTAAGCAACATCCTTTTTTACGCAATCTCTTTGAGCTCCAGGTCATTCCTTCCCATCCCCTGAAGGGGTTTTTTTTGCCAGGTTGTAGTTCTTCAGTTGCATTTGACATCCCTTCATTACAAGCCTGATGACTTGCTGGAGAGATGGCTGGAAATCTGCTTTTAGGGACCTTTGTTCTGTTACTTGTATTTTTCCTCCCCCAGTTTTTGTGTTACCATTGGGCTTCTGTTTCTCTGGGTTTTGTCAGCTTCTCGTGCTCGTTTCTCAGGCAGAATAAGACAGCAGCAATTTCAGAGCCCTTCAGTGAGACATCACAGGTCAGGGGACTGAGTACTGAGAGTGAACTCCAAAGAGGCAGCTCCTCATCCCTATGCCTGTACAACACCGTGCACTTATTAACCATTTCTGGGGAGACAAATCTATTTTCATGGACAAACCCACTGTGGGACAGGTATAAAGGTCCAGCATGGCAAGTCCATTTCCAGCACTAGGCTGGAAGCGTTGCTGTCAGCAGAAGGGGAAGGTCCGAGGGTGGCTTTTGCTGTGCTGACTGTGAGGAGTTTGTTCAGCTGTTGGATACAGGGATGTGTTCAGCAGGGGAGGAGGAGTGCAATGAGCCAAAGTCTTTTCCAAAGTCATTGTTCTTCCAAACCCTCTCAGGGGGATTACCCCAGTGGACTTGATAGATGCTATCAGCTTCAAAATAGCTCAAGGGTTTGCTCAGTGTTTGAAGCTTTCAAGTGCATTTCCTTTCCTACCAGTTCCTCTGTACAAAACAACAGTATTTCTCTCCTTGCACTATTGTTTGATTTCAGTTTGCTCTCTGCCTTCTCACAAGCTCAACCCACAGCAGTGCTCAGAGTTCAGTGCTGATGAGTATCAGTGGGGTGAATGCTTAGACTGGTCTGTCTTGGTTAGTGCAGGAGTCCTAAGCTGCCTGTTTGCTTTTGAAGCTCTCTAAAATGTTAAGATTTAAAGAAGGAAAAAAAGAAGAAGAAAGGAAAGAGGTTTGAGATTTATTTTTATTTTGCTTTTTTTAGCTATTATTTGGTGCTTGTTCTTACTTGCAAGCAGGGCTTGCAAAAATATTTATCTTTCTGTTTATTTGAAAGAGTTCTTTTTTAAAAAGAAGTTTACTTGGGTTTATTTTTTTATTTCTTTTTACTTTGGCTTTTGTTTGGGGGTTTGAGGGATGGTTTGTTTTGTTTTTTTCTTGATTTCTCCCTTGGTTTTTGTATCCTTACCAAAAACTTGGTAAACCAAATGTTCTTATCTCTGCGGTTCCTACAAGACCACGGTTTGGGCAGTGCTGCTTTGCAGCTGATGCCATGCCCAGAGTTACACAATTTCAGCTGAGAGCTTTCTTTAAGGCAGAGCATCTTTGGGGCTAAAAAGTCTGGATAAAGCAATGACTTCAGACAAGACTCCTCCTGTTAGTTAGTTTCCTTGTTTAAGTATTTTATTTAGGCTTTCTCATCCCTCTTGGAGGCAAAGGAAAAAGCAAAACCTAGAGCATCTCGCAGTGATGTGAGGGTCCAGTCGCTTCTCCACTGAGATACAGGCAGCTCTTCTAAACCTGAAGGGAGCTAAAGGAGGCACGTGCTGGTGTGGTGGTGTTACGTTTTCATAGGAAAACCACCAATTTCAGAACATCTGCCCTGCTGTTTATACACCTGCAAAAAGGACTGTGCCAAGCTGAAGTCTTTGGAAACCAAAGCAGCGCATGGCTCATTACTGCTGTGCAAACACAGATCAGGGCGCTGGTGTTTCTGAAAGTACAAGCTTTTCTTTACATCCCACTGTGTTCTCCCCAGTCCCAACACGTCTTGAATTCACAACTTAGGGCTGTCCCATGGCTCTGAGAAGGGCATCAAAAGGCAGATGCAGCACTCAGGGCAGCAGGGCTCTGTCTGCTTGGCTTGACCATCTCTCCTGATCTGTGCCAATCAAAAAGAGGGTTCAGTGCCCTAAGTGTGATCTCTTAAAGTCCCCATGTTTCCTTATCAGAGAAACCACAGGTGTGAGTCAGAAATACACTGACCAGAAATACTGCATACTACAAGGCTGTTTGTGTCTTAAATTCTGGTGGACAGACCTTTGTCCCTGGAGGATGTATGTTGCTGTATGATTCACTTTTTTGGAATGAAGTCTTTACTCTCACCCTGCTTCCTCTTTCTTTCACCTTTAGGAAAGGAAAGGCTTGTTTTTATCTCTTCAGCCTTTTATTTTTCCCCCTCTCTCAGATTTTCTTTGCAAAGGCTTGGCAAAGGTTTCCAGAGTCTGATTCTCACTCTGATCCCTGCAGGTTGTCTGCTAGAGCACGGTCCCAGCTTGACAGCACCGAAGTCTTTCCTCTTCCTGGCTTTAAAATTGCATTTGCTTCAGTTCCACACCTGGCATCCATCCTGCAGCTGTTGAAAGTGTTATTTCTTCAGCCCAGCTTGATGCTGTATCTAGTTCCCAGCGCCAGTCCTTTTATCCCATTTGGAGTGCCCAAACCACCCTGTTTTGCTTTGGGTTCCTGGGACACAGAGCAGGTTCAAAAATGTCTGTGCAAAGCCCATGTTGTTGGAGGGAGAAGAGAACCCTGTAGGGGCTCTCAGAGCTTTCTGTGTTAGTGCTTCATGGAGGGGGAAAATCAGACTTTCTTTTCTTGGACATTTCTTTGCCTGGTCTTCCTCACTGCCCAGCAGAAGGAGTTTCAATGACCAGGGAGCTGAGAGCACGGGCTCAGATGAAGTGCAGAAGTGGTCAGTATTAGCTGGTGGTGCCAGAATACCCCAGAGATAGAGAGTAGCTGTAGCAGATGGTGTGAGACTCGATGGAGTTGTGTGGGGTTGGCCTTACTTTCTTTTAAATGAAGTGATCATCTCAACATGTAACTTGATGTCAGTTTGATGCCATAAAGCACTTTAAATGGAATTGGTCTTGTCCCTTTTTATTTTGGTTATGTGGAGACAATCAGCTTTGCCATTGCTCCCCCCTCTGCATCCCCAGCAAAATCTGAGCTCCAAGTAGGCGTATTCCTGGTTTGGTTTGGCTTTATCCCGGGAGGGGAGGAAGGGCCAAGCTTTTTGTGTTAGTTTTAGACCAAAGTAGGTGTGAATCTGACTTCAGTCCCACTGCACACAGGGTGAGCGGCAGGGCCAGAGAGCTGGGTTTTGTTGGCTCAGGTATATCCCCTGGGAGAGCCCATGCTGGTGTCACCATCACCTTCCTCACAGCAAGTACTGCCAGTAGGGAAGCAGTCCCACCAGTGGTTCGCCCTTCATCTCTTTTTCCTTGGAGAAACCCAAAGCCAAAGAGATGTGGTGGGATGCGACCAAGTAAGTGAAGTGAGGCCCGTTCCATGCACTAAGTTATTTACTGTCCAGGCCATCGGAGACCTCCCAGGTGCCATCCCTGGGGCAGGAGCTCTCACCACTCCTGAGGGTGGACTCTTGACACTTGAAGTTTGACCACTGCTGAGAAGCACAGTAATGCCATTAGCTTGTGCAGATCTGTACTGCCTTTCGAAGGCAAGAGCATCCATAGAGTCCGATCATCTTTGCACCTTCTTGAGGCACTAGGCTATCTCAAAGCTGTTGACAAGACACAGAAATCCAGTCCTCCCAAACGCCACCGAGTCAGAAGAGGTTCCCCAGGTGCCAAATCCCAAGGAAACTGTTTAGGATATCTGTGGCACGGGGCAAGGGAGGACTGGGCGGGGGGCACAAGAGAGAATCTGCTAAAATCCCACAAAACATTCCTTGTTAACCAGAACTCTGGAAATTATTCTGCCTGCTGGCCAGGTTTGGGAATTTAACATAATTTAAGGCACCCTTTTAAATAAGAAAACCTCCCTGCTGCTCGTAACTCTTGTTTCACTTGTCAGAAGGGGCAGCAAGCAATGATTCTTGATCCGGTGACGCAGCTAAGCTTTAAAGATAGGCGAGCTGAACTGGCTTTTAATCCCGCACACCTCGTGCTCTTCAGCCATGGGAAGCGTGATGCCAGCTCCCTTCCCAGCTGCATCCTCAGGGCTGGGTGCCCTTCCTTTCCACACGCATTTCACTGACACTGATGCTTTGCCCAAATATATCCAGCTTCCATTGCTTGGGGGGGGTGGGGGGGAAACAGGATAACAATCACTGCTTCGCATACAGCTACGAGCTTGGTATGTATTTAAGCTGTCTATAGGTATCCATCCTTTCCATGCTCTAAAGTATTTTACTACTTTCTTTATTGATATTAAACACCATCTCAAAACCAAACCCCACCAAAACCCGTGTCCAGTTCAGTTCGCCTATGGTTCAAGTTTAGCCTGGAGTTTATTTTGTACTAATACAGAATGCACTTGAGTAATTCCCAGAGCGTTGAGGAGGTGTATTACAATAACCTGATATACCTCTGCTTTTGGTTTGTTTCTTACAAAAAATAAAATAAATAAAAATGCATTTTCATGTTGAACCTGTTAAAAAAAAAAAAAAAGTTTAAAAAAAAGTTGAAAAAAGAATTTTTAAAGAGGGTAAAACCTAATTGCTGTATGTTAATTTGTAATTATGTACAAAGTGAGCAGGTTATCGACTGTAAAATTCTTCAGTTTTTCTGTAACTTGCCAGAAACCATTAGGTTTTGTAACAAGCTTTTATTTATCTTCCTTTTTAGTTATCAGCATCAACCTCTTGTAAAGTCATTTTTTCCTCTAAATAAATTTGATTTTAAGTCTGCGTTTTCTGCCCTGTTTATTTCCACGCC